AATCTACTATAGCCTATAACCTATAATCTAAACTATAACCTAGTGTACTGTTATAATATATTAATCCCTAACTTCTATTAGTAGACCTTACTGTTAGATAGCTAACTATAATAAGAAAGCATAGAGGTATAGTTATCCTTTTAGGTTTTATTGCAATAGCTATACTCTAATTATATAGTTAGATATATTAAGTTCTACTTCAAACTGTTTTATTAGATCTAAGATAATTAGGATAGGTTTACTAGTAATAAGGTTTTTAATCTTTTAGAATACTATTTATTATAGTTCTTCTTATATGAAGGGTATGTTTTTACAGCTAAGGCTAGTGAGAGCTATATTAATCTTACTATAGTTTTTAATAAATTTGCAGTAGAAATTAATAAACCTTAGGAATCCTTAGACTTCTTTAAGGTTATTAAGTACTAGCTATTCCTTAATATCTTTAACCTTATTTTCTAATATATAAACCTTTCTAGAGGTAATAATAAATCTAAGGTATTTTACTTTTTATATATAAAATTTACTTTTTTTAGGTTTAACTAAGAGTTTAGCTTCTTAGAAGGCTTATAAGATATAGTAAATATCTTCTTTATACTTTTTAAGTATAAGTAAAAAGATAAAGATATTATCTAGGTAGATAACTATATAGATATTAACATACTTATATAGTACTATATTAATTATATTTTAGAATATTATAGGTGTGTTAGTGAGACTAAAGGGTATAACGAGGTATTTAAAATATCTTTTTTATATCTAGAAGGTAGTTTTCTATTCTTTACTTTATTTTATTTAGATTAGGTTATAAGCTTTTTTAAGATTAAGGGCTATAAATTAGTTAGCTCTATATAGAAGTTATTTTATTTTATTTATAAGGGGTAGTAAGTAATAATTTTTAATTATTATTTTATTAAATATATAATAGTTAATATATAGCTATAGTTTTCTATTCTTCTTAGGTATAAATAGGATTAAGTTTCTTATTAGTAATATTAAAGGTTTAATATAACCTTTCTTAAGGTTTTCTTTAAGGTATTTATTTAGGGCTTCTATCTCTATTAGGTTAAGTCTATAGATCTTATTAAATTATAGTTCTTTCCCTTCTTTAAGGGGGATTTTATAATTAAAACTAATATATTTAGGTAGTTTAGTCTCTAATTTAGCTATAAAGAGTTTCTTATAAATTCTATATTCTTCTAGGATAGATAGAAGTAGATTATTCTTTTATTTAAGATCTATTATTATTAATAGTTATAATATAGCTTTTTTTACCTTAAGGTAGTAGATATATTATCTAGTTATTTTATATAGTATTAGTTTATTTAAGGCCTATTTTTAATAAGGTTACTTAGGGATTAAGTTATTATAGTCCTAATAGAGTTAGCCTTTACTTTAATTTATTTATAGGTTACTTATTTATAGCTAAGGTAGTCTTAGTATTATATTATATATTCTTAAGTTAGTAATATTAAATTAGATTTTTTCTTTTTAATTTAGGTAGCTTATTTTAAGGGGTATAGTTTTATTATAGATAGTACCTCCTTTATACTTAAATTCTTCTCCTTCTACTATATATAACTAATATAGTTATTTTTTTCCTCTTTATAGTACTTTTAACTTATTAATAACTTAGGAGGTAATAAAGTTTACTTTAGCTTTACTATTAATTAGTATAAGTATTATCTATTAATTAATAATAACTTTAAGTTTTATATTACTTTAATATCTTTATAATATTTAGTAGATAAACTTTTTCCTTATTGCTTATTATAGTTCTATATTAATAAGTAAGTTTAGTTTTTTAACTATTCTAGGTGTTTTAGGTAGGTAATTTACTTTCTTTTCCTTTATACCTTTATAAAGTTATTTTTATAATATCTAACCTAAGGGGGTTAGGGTTTATTCTTTATAATTCTCTAGGTATATACTTTTTCCTTATAGTAGATCTAATACTTATTATATTAATATTTATCCTATTTTATCTATTTATTATAGAGGTATTTTATAGGAAATTATTAACTTAAGGTAAATATAGTAATATTACTATTAAACTTTCTAAGTTCCTATTTAGTGAAAGTATATATAGTATAGATATTTTATAAAGGATTATTATTATATTGCTTAGGTTAGAAATAGTAGTTATACTTATCTCTTATATAGATTTTATAATAGTTAAAGAAATATTATACCTAAAAGAGGTATTAATAGTTAGGGTTAGTAATTCTAAGGTATAAGTGATCTTTAATTCTAAGTTATAAGGTATAATATGTTTTTAGCTTAATATTAGGTATACTATAAAGTTTAATAAACTATTTATTATTATATAAGTTAATTTACTTATATATAATTTACTTAGGTATATTATTCTTCTTAGATTCCTCTTTAGAGTTAATATTATCTATATTAAAGGTAAGTTTATAGGCGATCTCTACCTAAGTATATTAATATATAACGTTATAAGGTTTATCTAAGTTATAAGGAGAGCTCTCTCCTTCTCTAAAAATCTAATTATTTATAAGAGTAAATAGTTACTATTCTTCTAGGGGGTTATATTAGTAATCTAGTTTATTATTAGATTTCTCTCTTATCTATTTTTAGAGTTCCTAATTAATTTATTTAATTCTAATAGGATTTCTATATACTTACTTTCTTTATTCTATATATAAAAATATAGTACTAAGTTATCTTTCTTAAAATAAGTTATAAGGCTCTTCTTAGATCCTTTTTAGGTATATTTCTTTAGCTATTTAGAGGTAAGAGAGTCTCTATTTATTATTATTTTTTAGTTTTTTAAATATTATATAAGTAGTTTAGTTTAGGAGTCTATAATTAGTCTAATTTTAGTTATTAGTTATTTTTAGAGTAAAACTAAGAATTAATTAGAGTTATTATACTTAGAGTATTTCGTTTAGTTATTCCTTAATTTTCTTTTAAATCTTATTATTACTAGTATATATTATTACTAAGGTTTTTAGATATATATCTAAGGTAGTTATATTATATCCTAACTATCTAGAGTTACTATCCTTTAGGTAGTATCTTAATATTTCTTTATCTTTAAGATAAATTTAATAGTTATTATTATAATATTTAGTTTAGGATTAAGATATATATAGGTTTTTAGTAATAGTATTAACCTATTAGGGTTATTTAGCTACTAGTTTCTAAGGAAACTTCTTAAGCTATTTATAGTTTCTAGTAATATATCCTTATTTATTATAGTTATAATATTTAGAGTTTTAAGGTTTTTTATTATTAAGTTTAATTATTATACTAAGATCTATAGGTCTACTATATTATCTATAAGTAATACTCTAGTAAGTATTATTTTAGTTATTATAAGGTTTATTATTATTCTATTAAGGGTTAAACTTCTACTAAAGCTATTATTAATACTTATATTTAGAATTTAATCCTTATTATTTTTCACCTTTTTCCTTATAATACTTAAAAAGTTAATTATTAATCTTAATAGTAAGGTTAGTATATTAAAGAAAGTCTTTAGAATAGTTAATCTTAATAATCTTATCTTTAATTTTATCCTTAAGTCCTTAATAGAATATAAAGATCTTAGTTTCTTTAGTAAAATTAAGTTAGATACTAAGTTATCTAAATATAGTAATATATTCTTTAGTTAACTTTATCTATTATAGCTATATAAGGTCTTTTTTAGCTTATTATTTCTTATTAAGGTTTTAGAAGAAAGAGTAGAAGGTATCTTTAAATCCTTTAAAGTTACTATAGATATTATAAGTTTTAGTAGAGTATTTATCTAAGGTTTTATACTTAAGGAATTCTTCCTAAATAGGTTTAAATTATTTAAAAGTTTATCCTTATAAGTAAGTAGTAATATAAATAACTTTTTTAATTTAGCTAGTAAAATCTCTATAATAGAAGTTTTAATAGTTTTTAACTTAAATTAGGAATAACTTAAGTTATCTAAAAGTACTATTATAGGTAATTAGGGCACTAAATTTAAACTTCTATTATCCTCTAATAGGGGTTATAATAATATTAATAGTTATATATAAAGTATAGATTTCTTCTTAGAGTTCTTTAATATTAGTATTACTATTTTATCCTCTAAGTTAGATAACTTTATTTTCTAAGTTTATAATATACTAAGGGCTATTTCTTAGTTATTATATTATTTCTTTAAGGCTTTAAAGTTCTATAGTAGTATTATTATATATAGTTTAAACCTTAATAATATTATTATCTCCCTTCTTAACTCTAGTTTAAAGGCGTTTATAGGTATCTTTCTTTAAAATTACTTTATTATTAAAGTCTACTACTATAAAAGCTCCTTTAAGTTCTTTAGCTAGGTTCTAAACTAGCTACTATAAAGAGGAGGAGGTTCCTAGAGTAGGTAACTTAGTAGAGGTATATAAAGATATATTTATTATTTTATTATTAGTAGGTATTAATAGTTAACTTACTAAATAAGAGTAATTAAAGTATTATAGTTAACTATCTAATAGTAAGGTTTACTAATAGAAACTAGGGATTAATATATTATAATAGTATATTAAGGTTATAGTCTAAGTTATAAATTATAGACTAATTATAAATTAGATCTTTAGAGACTAAAGTAATTAATCTTAAGTTTAATAAATAATTTATAGTAAAGGTAAGTTAAGAATATCTATAAGAATAAATACTAAGTTAATTACTAAAGAGCTATAGAAGTCTAATTATAAGTTAAACTTAAGGTTATACTATATATAAGTCTTAAATAGTTCCTTTATCTAACTTATTAATTCCTAACTAAGTATTAGTAAGTACTTAGTAATTACTAATAAGTACTTAGTAGTCCTTACTAAGTACTTAGTAATCTATACTATTTACTTAGTCTTATCTTATTATTATATAACTTATACTATAGTTCTTCTATTTTTCTAAATAAGTCCCTATTATTCCTATAATCCTATAGTATAAATATCCTATCCTAGCCGCCCGTTACCTAAGTAGGTCGGTCAACTGTTATCTATACATAACAGGTCATAACAAAGCTCAAGATCGAGATACCTATGGACCTTAGCTCCGTTCTCAGAACAGTGAAGAACCCAACTACTCGTCAGAAGGCTAGACTGGCATATGACAACCGCTGTCCGGCGAACGTTGCTATCTTCAAGGAAGTTATGCAACTCCGTCACGAAGCAGCGCTTTTGTTGGGTTACCCGAACCATGCAGCGCTGAGCGTGGAGGACAAGATGGCAGAAACACCGGATAGGGTGAACAGCTTCTTGAGCTCTCTCCGCTTGAAGTTGACAGAGGCTGCGAAGAAGGACGTTGAGACCCTACTCCGACTTAAGAGGGGCAATGTTGAGGCGAGGGGTGAAGAGTTTGATGGGCACTACTTCACTTGGGACAATCCATACTACGACAACATGCTCTTACAACAAGACTATGCAGTGGACCAGGCGAAGATATCGGAGTACTTCCCATTGCAGTCGACTGCGCATGGGATGCTCGGGATCTTTGAGCAGCTGTTTGGTATGGTGTTTCATGAGATCTTGGATGAGGAGAGAGCTTCACTGTCTTCCACTGGGAAAGGAGATGATCTAGTCTGGCACCATGATGTACAGATTTTCTCTGTCTGGGACAAAGATGAAGAAGGCGGCGGATTCCTGGGAAACCTCTATCTGGACCTCTACAGCCGCGATGGGAAATATTCAAACCCATCCAATTTCAGCGTCGTACCTGTAAGATTCCTTCTCTTTTGTGTTCTGTAAACTTACACTAACACTTTCAGGGGTATGTCGAAGAGGATGGAACCAAACACTACCCATCTACAGCTCTGGTCTGCAACTTTCAGCACCCAAGCGCCTCAAAACCCACCCTCCTGCGTCATACGGACGTCGTTGTTCTTTTCCACGAATTGGGTCACGGCATTCATGACCTTGTATCCCGCACCAAATTCGCACGTTTTCATGGGCCGATGGGTACTGTTGTTGACTTTGGCGAGGCGCCGAGCCAAGTCCTGGAGAATTGGTGCTGGACGCCCGAACAAATCATGTCTCTCAGTAACCACTACTCATATCTTTCTGGCGATTACTTCAGTAACTGGAAGTCAAAGACGGGGAAGAAAGAAGGTCTCGTGCAGCCACCGAAGAGATTGCCGCGAGCAATGGTTCAAAGCCTTCTGAAAGCGAAGCATGCGAACACGGCTCTGGGCACTCTGCATCAGCTCTTCATCGGAACTTTCGATATGGCTGTCCATCAGCTCGACGATTTCGATGAGAATCAGACTTTCACAGCGTTATGGAATCGTCTTCGAAGGGAGATCGTCCCGACCGAGGACCTTTCCGCCTTGGGTGCCGGCGATGAGTGGGGGCACGGATACACCAACATCGGTCACTTGATGAACGAGTATGACGCTGGGTTCTACAGCTACCTGTTGTAAGTGCTTTTGAGTTTCAGCTTTGGACCTTTCTAATCCGTTGCTTAGTTCAAACGTTTATGCGCAAGACATCTTCTCGACCGTGTTCAAAAGCGATCCCATGAGTGTGGAAGCGGGTCGAAAGTATCGATACGCGGTGTTAGAGAAGGGTGGCAGCCAGCCGGAGATGACTACTTTACAAGATTTTCTTGGGAGGGAGGCGAAGATGGAGGCCTTCTATGAAGACTTGGGTTTTGCATTATGATAGATCTGGATTGACCTGTGAGGGGGCAGCTATTGAATTACTACTTTGCTTTGATGATTAATTACATCAAGGCCATATTGAGGCTTTCGTACAGCGAGTTCTGTTCAAGAATGGTTGCATCTCACTATCCGCCAGCAGCCACTTCAGCCGCTGAAGTACCGATTGAAGCTGGCTGTGGGCCAAGGAGCCCAGCCCTCTTCAAGCTTTCATCGTCCTCCTCAGCTTCGACCCTCCGAAGAAGGTCCTCAGGATCGAATCTCACTGCTCTAATGTTGGCTGGGTCTATCGCCTTCATGTGCCTCTGCACATCGTCGGGGTCACTGTAGGCCTCGATATGTGCTTCAATATTGTTTCCGTCGGGGTCCGTGTAGTACAGACTTGTTGTCACGCCGTGGTTGAGACAGAACTTTGGCGTGATATCTGCCTCCTTTGCATGACGGTACACTTGCACAAGGTCTTTGGCCGAAGCAAATTTGAGAGCGATGTGATCCACTCCGCTCGTGTTGGTCTGCTTTGGAACGGCCGTGTCGTCGTGGATTATGGCGAGACGGTGATGCTCTTCATCCCAGGTGAGAACGGAGATGAAGTCGTTGGCGAGAACCACTCTTGCACCGAGAAGGACTTGGTAAAAAGAGACCAATTTATCTGGGTATCTCGTTCGCAAGCCAATGTGGGCAATTGCCGTTGGGGCAGGAACGGGATCCCGAGGCATATTTCCGGTGCGACGTGGAACGATAATTGGAAAAATTCTACGAGTATGAATCGAATCTTTCTTATTGCTTGTTAATCAACACTTGGCACGATCAAGAGCACGGCGGCGAGGGGTAATATAGTTGACGCGAGCCCAATGAACGTCGTGACATGCGTGTGACATAGAACAATAACTCCGCAATCATTTTGCCCACTGACAAATTTGAGTCCGCATGTGTAACTAATCATGTAAGAGGGGGGTGAAAAGGGTCAAAGAGCTGACAACGTGATCTGAATATCTGCCACCAAACACGGTAAACTTTCCGATCTCCGCAAACCTCCGCAAACCCCCGCTGACCACTCCGATACACAATTGTTTACTCGCTGACTCAATGTATTAGATTAACTTCAATGTAAATTTTCTCCAATATATAATTCTGAAAGAGAGAATGTCTGTCTCAGGCTAGCGAGGCCTGTCATTCTAATGCTGACCAACTACCCTTCCGTGCCCTGCATACCGTAATGAATGAACGGCGCCCAGAGAAGAGGCATGCGCAGATCCTTAGTCCGCTCTCGCATCACCGCCTCTCTCAGAGACCTTGCTACATCATCATCTTGCGATTCATTTCCATGAAGCCTGAAATGCTCCGTATGAAAGGCCCCGCAACCGAGATGCACACGCGGTCGCTTGACTGCCAGAGGCAACCCACTATATGCGGGAATCCTGCCATAATGAAGCCACCCACGACATGAAGGACCTAGTCTTGAAGCAGTGCTGACTTACTCTGGGCTGTCGAGCACGCCGAAAGGTAGGCTAGTCTCACGCGCTCAAGTTTTATTTTAGATATGTGAACGCGACCCAGTAGGTAGGTAGGCAAGTTTAGGCATCAGTCTGGGACAACAAGAGGGCTATCAGACGTTTTAGATCGATTACAGCTATATCGACCTCAAATGCTTCAAATTCACTGTGTGCCATTGGCCTGCCAAGTTCACTGAGGAGTTGATGCTCGATTACGACCCCCCAAGAGGCACTTGTCAGACGGAATACCACGATATTTTCTCAGATTCGTCCTCTTTAGGGCACTATTACTAGTTATGGAAGTCTCTTGATTTGAACCTGGGTTAGGTCGCTGTGTTGGGAACGTCTCACGGGCCAAAGGGTCGCGTATCGTCACCCACCTTCACCTAAAAACAAGAGCAAAAACAAAATTACATACAACACCGGGCATTCGCCGGTCGTCACCGACCCGACTACTACTCCAGCCCTCACTGGTTTATCGATGGGAGAGCGGACGGGATCCCGAGTTCTCCAATGGGTATGGTCGTATGTGATAGCATTTCTGTCTTGCTGAGGCTAAATACACATTGGCGCCACACCTAACACCACACAAAGAGCAGCAGCTATGGAATGCGAAGAATTAAGGCCCACCATTCGACAGCATGCTTCGTATCTTTTGACTGACATACTATCTACATAGGTGGTGTGCATAGGTCCAATGCTCAGACGTCATGCTCAGAACCCTTGTCAACAACACACGTAGAGACGATCAACGTCCACTCGACATCCCAATCATCGCCGTTGTACTTTTCCTCCAAATGCTTCTCCACCAACGCCCTTACTTCACTCACAGGATGCGCCTTTCGCGTCTTCTCATCCCACCATGACGCCAAAAACCAACCAAGCATCACCCCAAAAGTGGCAACGAAGTCCTGGGCGCTCTTCACGTGGTGCTTCCTGGCGGCAACTTTCACTACGACGTCCCGAAAGCCTTGGCTTCTGAGATGCTCCTCGATCCACACGGCATCTGTCCAAACCCCCTGGGCATGGAGCTGCATGGGCACTTCGTCTGGGAAGGGGGCTGTGAAGGGGAATGAGGCGAAGGCGGAGCGCATGTCTGGGACCCAGAAGATGTTGTTGCGATGGAAGGTTGTGGCGCCGAGGATGCCCCCTGGCTTGAGAATACGCTTGCAGTCTGTGGTAACTTGTGTTAGACTTAAGTCGAGACCAGATATGGTGTGTGGACTGACCATTTAAAACAGCGTCTGGGTCTGGTATCATGTGAAGGCTCATGCCGAGCCCAACATGCGTGAAAGTGTCATTAGGAAGAAAAGTGTTCTGCGCAAAGATCAGCATAAGTCTTTAAGCTTTTACAGATGGGAGAAAATACCATTGCATCCAAGGTCGTAACTTTTGTGTTAGTCCAACCCTCGTCGGCGACTCTTTTCTTCACTATGTCAACCATGTTCTGAGCCTTGTCTGCGCACAGAAAAGAGCTCTTCTGGACGATATCATTGGACAACATTGAATGCAGCTCTTGAGTCAAAACCCCGGTCCCACATGCGTTGTCGAAGAAATGCACCGGTTGGGATGTGATGTTCGTGATACCCATCTGAGTCAGCAATGGCGATGCCATCTTGGCTAGCATCCCACGAGAGGTGGCAATCATGTCCCGGTCTGAAGCAGACATTTCGCTAGCGTAATGAGTATTAGGGTAACAAAAGCCTCGAGTTAGTGAAGATTTGATCATTAGATTTGACCTTTGTTCCGAATGCTGGAAGTGACTAATATGTAGCTGTGAAAAGTGTCCGAGAAGTGCCCGATTGTCGCCGAGATGTTCCAATCGGCCATGCAGAGCAGTTATGATGAGCAAGTTTGCGCAAATCTGACCTCAGGGTGAGTGACTTTGCGCCCTTTAACGAAAGAAGTTTTTCTTAATATGTAAATTTGTATTACTTCTTGGTACAAACGTTTACAGAACCGCGTCATACAGTCATTAGAATAATGGTCCACCCTTCTACACCCTATCATACCCGCCGTGATCATCTTCCCCCGAAAGCGATCAGAAACATTGCAGCCTGAGTCTCATTAACAGGCCGGGGAAGTAGGTGCAGTAGTGAAGTATGTCTTGTAGTAGACGTTGTCGCCAATGTTCTTCGCAACACTTGGTGGCGTGTTGAGCGGGCCGCCCTGGTTCTTGGCATTGGGGTACAGGAATGAGGGGCTGTTGGGAGACAAGACACTGAGGGGGCATCCAAGAACAGTGTTGCTGAAGTAGGGGTCCAGCTTGGCGATAGCCCAGGTGGTGGCAGCGGCGACCTGCTCCTCGGAGCCGGCGACGAATAGAGGCACGACAGAGTTCATGCCCTGGTACAGGTCGCAAAGGACCGTCGTGGCGTTGAGGTTGGGAGTACCGAGCTGAGCAACTCCGGGAACAACGGGGTTGCGGATGTAAATGTCGAGGAGGCCCTCGAGGACGGTCTGGACTGCGCCGTAGGGAGTGGCACGGCGATACCAGTTCTTGGGCCAGGTCTCGGGAACGTACTGGAACTCGCCGGTCTTGTCGTCGTATTTGGCGCCGATGATGGAGGAGATGGATTCATAGTTGGCCACGCCGCCGGCTCCGTAGGTTCCGTTGCTCATGAACTGGGACAAGTTAGTACAGAGGACGAGGCACAGGATTTGTGAACTGCGGACTTACCTGAGGGTAGAATGCAAAGGCGCCGAGAGAGACGATCAAAGGGAAGGGGAAGTAGTAGAGGTATGGATTGTACTTTTGCGAGAACATGGAGTTCTTTTGGTACTGTGTGCCCATGTTGGTGAGGTCAAACTGCTTGCTGGCGCTGCTGGCAACAATGTCGACGTTCTGCTTGAACATGCGGGATGAGAGGTGGTGGTTGTCACCACATCCGTTGTAGAAATCCTCACGGTTGACCGAAATGTCGGCCTTCAGGATTTAGTTAGATTATGCTGACCGAAGGTGGGACATCGCTTAGACTTACCTCAACAGTCGAATGGCGGTTGAGACCACCAACACCACCTGGTCCAGCACCCAGGTAGAAAGACTCGGTGGCGATATCGCCGTCCGCTAGGACAGTGAAGACGCCAAGGACAGTTGACAAATCGGCGCCCATGTTGAAGCCACGAGCAGTCGCCTCAATGACCTGGCCAAGAGTAACGTGACCATCGCGGGGGAGGTAGCCGTGGTTGGCGAGCAGGTTGAGACCGGGGCAAGGTCCTCTGCTGTCGCCGGGACCAGGGGCTTTGAATTCGAAGCCCTTTTCCGGACGCGCATTCGCAGGATTGATATTCTGGGCAACTGCACCGAGAAGTCCGGTGATGGTACCAGTAAGACCCCCGATCACGCCTCCAAGAAGTTGAGGTTCGGGGTTGGCAACGGGCTCAGGATTGCGCTTGAGGAGCTCCTCAAGTTGTTGTCTGGATCCCATCATAGAGGGGAAAGCTGTCGCTGATGTGGCCAATGTGGCCAGGATGGTGGTTTGGTACTTCATCTTGACGGTTGAGGGTGAGTATGGTTGACTAGTGTCGAGAGTTGAGGCAAGATCTTGACGCTGTCGTATCTCGTTTCAGGTAACTTGTGCAGGAGAAGACTTGGAATCTTATATACCATTCTTCAGCCATCAAACTAAGCATTGCTTTTGTTTTGGTGATAACATCTTACACGACCTAAATATACCGGACCCCAAGCATGAGGTCAGTGGCCAATTCCCCGAGTCGCTACTATTCCCGCCAACACCACTATTTCCTCCCCTCAAGAGCTTGAACCGCTTGGCACGATGATGCGCAAAGGTCAACGTGCCCCTTCCAAGCCGAGACGGTCTCACCACAGAAGTTCAACTATCAATTGCACCAGCCGAATCTATCATGATCTCTGCAGATCCCCATCTCGGGAGGGTAAAGCGTGATGGTAATGAGCCGGGCCAATAAGCACACCCGTAAAAGTAAGTAGTGCACCACCGACTGAACAGCTCAACGATAAACGAGTCGCGGGCGCAGATAAAAGTGCGACAACAGACGGGAAGCAAACGTGCCGAAGTGCTAGCGCCTCGCTATGTGGACCGCGGACCTGGCGTCGTTCATGGCGGGCTGACTAGCGGCGGCGCCTGGCGACAGAACCCCGGAATGTTTCTCCACCGGTGTAACGTCGGGCAGACTAGCGAGTCCCTTAGGGACACCAGAATCGGAAACGGGCTAAAAGGATGACATAGGATCAGCGTCACCGGGGGCTGGTTGGTTGCGCCGAGACTCGACGGAGCAGAGTCCGGGGGAGGGAGGAGGCAGTGCGACAAAGTGGGTAAACATGGAGTGTCTGTTCTGGAAAGCGCGGGCCGGCGCGTGTTTACCATGTCTAGGACTCGAGGATGACGTTCCATATTTGAAATCGGATTCTAGGGAGCTTTGATTGGAAGCTATGCGGTGTTGCTCGTTCCACGTCTAAGACACGGAGAAGACCCGAATATGGCCGTCTACGCTCGGCCGCTACGGGATGGCTACTACACATATGGCATCTTCGACTTATCTTGAAGCCTAAGCAAATGCTTATTTGACACGTCAAGACCGTGCTGAATTAAGAGTAAAGCCGGTCGCTATGTGGTGATACATTGGATGATGAGGTCGACATCAAGAACTCGTGCGTTCACGATAGAAGGGTGGACACTTCGATTCCACCACCAATATGCTCGTGAGAACATAGAACAGCGATTTCTTGGCGGTCTTTGTTCGCCGCGGAAAGTTTGCCACGAAGTCTGTTGAAGCACCTTGGCCGTAAAGCATAGGTGGCGTTTTGCCTGGCTGGCAACAAAGCCTTCTAATTGCCCATGAAGCTTACTTGCCTTAGCTTAACGGCGATGGCAATAGCGTTTCTGGCGTGCAATTATTTCCTATTCCCCGACCCGACCTTTGGACGTTTAGTTGGATTGTTTTGCCGAGGCTATCGATGCATGGATAAGGTAGGATGTCAATGTCGAGGAACGCGCTGGATTTCGGGCACAGCAAATCAGGAGCGTATCGTGCCACCCAATACGGACCCCAGCATGCACTGCGTGAAATTGCCCAGATTGGAACCTGTGTGATGAGGGCGATGTGAAGAACTTTTGTCGGACACTCTTAAAGGAGCTTAGGAGTGCGACAGAAGAATGCAGGACAATGTCTAGGATTCCGACTCACTGGCAATGAGACATGAGATTCCAAATGCTTGGCGAACGATCCGACTTGCCGGTTCCCGGATGCGGAGACCATGGGAATTTCTTCGGCCGAGATCTGAGTATGGTGGAGACCCCGGACAGACGTTCACGGCAGCGACATGTGTTGTCACCTAGCCACTGCTGGTCTTGATGCCCAACTCTTCTCCCTTCGTGCTTCTCTCTGGCTTTATCAATGGGAATGATCCTTTTGTTGCGTCATAAACCCGGGATATGAGCCATACAAGACCACCTTCTACCCGAGGGCACCCGTGCCTATACTGATTACCGTAAGGATGAGCCTTCCAACGTGTCGCGCCGTCGCCGATGTTGGCCACGATACCTTTGCTAGAACGTGCCGTGTCCGCTGTAGTTGCAAGTCTCACAGTGCTATTATCATCGTTTAGAGCTGCTAGCATTCATTCCAATAACAGCACCCAGGCAAGGGATCCTGTTGTCTACGTATATAGACTTCTTCTCTGCACTTCTCAAGTCAGTCCCGTTGGTGCGAAGGCGGAGCTGGACGACCAGGCTGCGTCAACGTACCATGATACAGAACTAAATTCCGTGCCGCACACGTGGAGAGACTCGATAGAAGAATCATCTTTTCAAGCGGCGGCCATCCGATTGGAGGGCTGGCCAGGCCTGCTGGCAGAGTCGCAGGAGGTTGGGCCTATCTTAGCGAGACAGGTTCGTGGGTCTAGACGTGCCAATCCAGGCCTGTAAATCAATGCCCATATTAAAACCAGATCAATTGCAAACCCCTCCTTTCTCCACCTGGCAACTCAACTCATGCATGTTGGATATTGGAAGCGCCCTGGCATTCGGCACTGTTGGTACGAATACTGAGTCAAACCCTCCGTGGAGACATGAGCTAGCAGACACCTTAACCTCTATCCAGCCGCTATGAGCCCACGCTCAAACAGCCATAGGTTTCTCTGGAGTTTGTGAATCCTCCTTGGGCGACTTGTAGGTTCCTTCCAATGTCTTGAATATTAGGCTTACTTACTTGGTGGGTAGAAAGTAGTCCCAGGTGCTCTGAAGAGATCATGGACTTGGCAATTGTTCCTCATGCATATTGACCCCCACTTCAGGCTGACGTGAGAATGCTAAAATCTTGCAGGGGCAGGCTGGAGCGAGTTGCCCGACTAACCCCTGGCGTCCCCAAGACTCAAAGGTGGGCCAATACTTAGGTTACACCAGCTGCTCTGGTCTTTGAAGCCCAGCGCTGGATGCCAGAATAGCAGTTGAACCATTTGAGTACAGCTTCAGAGATGTCGGTCCTTGGTCAACACTGAGGCAGGATCACTACCGTGGCCATGCTGAATGGGATGCTGGAGACCTGGAATGCTGGTTCTCTATTGTTGTTAGGGCCTGTCATTCATTGGAACCAACAAGACTTCTCGCAGAAGATGCACGCGCGGGCTACCTCTTTTTGCCAGGCCCCATGCTGCCCTCAGCCTGCAGCATGTGACCCGTGGTCCCGTACGCCAGCAGGGTTGGCTGCAGCATAGAACAGAAGCGGGTAATATGTTGTCCAAGCCTCATCCAATACGAGAGGCCTCTCTTTCTTGGCCGAATTTCTCTTGGCCGGGTGTTGCGGCCTTTTATCGCTCAGTGAGATAGCAAAACTGTCCGCAAAAGTTCAACACCATGCTACTACTACTACCTCACCTATCAGACACGAAGAGTGGGCTTCGAAGAATCATCCAACACGGAAGGCAGTAACACACTTCACAACGGAGATAATTCCCCAACAGACAAGATCATGGAGCAGGGCAAAGCCCAGAACGACGCGGGCCCAGGCACCTCCACAGAAGACGAGTTCCGATACGTGGCGCCTCGATGGTTCCTCGACAATATCAAAACCGCCGAAGAGCTTAAGAAAGCCCAAGCCAGAATCTGGCTTGTCGACGAGGGCACAGAAGCTGTCGAAGGTTCAAGCGTGACCGAAGCAACACCTGATGAGAAGTTCTTACCTGAGGCTGCCGGCGATGGGCGAGACACCTATTTCACTGTTGGTCGCGAAGTCGTGGAGGACCTCCTAGACACCGCAGCCTCTCTACAAATGGTGAATCTCGCAGGCCGCTTACCCCGCACCCAATCCAGCATCACATTATCATGCGAGATGAGATTCGGTTTGCAGTTCTTGGACGAGCTTGTCATCTTCATGGCCAAGGAACTGGAATCTTCACTCGTATCGATCAACGTGCAAGACTTGGAAGATGTCGGATTGGACTTCTATTGCCAAAAGAAAGCTTTTGAACGGATAAGATACCAAAAGGAGGACCAGACTGGTGATGGAAGTGCCAATATCAACGACGATGACAACGAACTTGGAGACAGTGACGACGACTCTGACGCCAGCGCTGGCAGCTATGACACCTCGAGCATCGCCCAAAAAGCTGCGCAACGCTATTTCGGGGTTTGGAGCGACTCCCTTACAGAAGCCGAGAAGAAACGTAGCAACGATGCGCTGTCTGCCTTGCTAGATGCCGTTGAAAAGAAGGGAAAGGCTCCGAATGGACACAGGGAGGATGGGGAAGGCTTTGTTCCTCATCATACGCCCCAGCCTCCACTGAATGGTTCGGTTTCGAAGCCAGGCTCCACTATTCTCTATCTCCGTGATGGCTTGGAATCACTGGAGCCATCCGAACATGGCCACCAGACGTGGGGATGCAGGCTGCAGGACGCCGTCAATCAGCTTAGAAAAGGCGGGGAGAAAGTCATCATCGTCATGGCCGCAACGCATACAGATGCCGATGAACACGGCATCGACTCGCACCCAGACATACCCTGGAAAATATCTAGCTGTCACTGCCATCGGCTTTCAAAAGACGGACGTTACGTTGAGATTCGCGATTCCCGGCCTGGCACGACAATCCCCCTGATGCCACTGAACGTTCCAAGAGGTTGGCTAGATGAGAGAAAGTCTGAATGGGAAGGATCTATCGCTGCAACTCGTATTCAATCCTTCAAACGCAGATTGAAAGCGCAACTAGCACAGTACCCTTCGATGCCCCCGGACCTCCTGGAGCCACAGCACGACTGGTTTTCGCTGCTGCCTGAACGAGTTGCAAGCGAGTTTGCTTCGGTGCATTTTAAGGAGAGTGTTAACGTAGCGTTCAATCGCCTACTCTCCCGGTGCTCTAGAAAGCAGAAGGTTGATTCCAGCGATGTTCGAGCCATTCTTCTTCGGATCAATGGCAGTGACACATCGATAACGGGGGAAGATGGCGACTCAGAGGTAACTAGAACCAGTTAGGAAGTCACTTTGCAATCTGTTGATCAGCCGTAGGGTAATTCCGACAAATGCGATGATGAATCCAGCGAAGACAACAATGAATGTGAGCTTCTTCTACAATTTGATGCGTCACGAGCCAAGCATGTCATGTTAATATTAAAAAGCTTCGGAGAGTTCGTGGGAAGAAAAGTTGCGTCAGCTTAGGTATGAGTGCAACGACTTCGAAGAAGAGCTACTGCCCAGTATTATTAACCCAAGTAAGAGTCATAACGAGACTAATTAGTGGTCTATACACTACCTCCTGCATGGCTAATCCTTTGTTAGATGATCTTGATGCACAACTCGACAATGTGGTTCTCGACCAGGATGTGATGACAAGCATTACGACTATTATACAGCAGCAGCAGCATCAACCCGATATTGGAGCAGCCTCGTCTGGGATCATGGATTTGGTCAAAATCAGAGGCATCTTGCTCTACGGACCACCTGGCACCGGAAAGACTCTTCTGGCACGTGTGATTGCTAAGAGCACAGGACACATTATGATTGCCGTCGACCCCGCCACTATCAGAACCTGTTTAGTAGGAACGACTGAGAAACGCATTCGCGCTGCCTTTACCCTGGCGCAAAAGCTCTTCCCATGCATCATATTCATTGACGAACTCGACTCCCTATTCCTCCGCCGCACCAGTAATGATAGACCCTGGGAGCGTGCTTCTGTCATCCAGTTCCTCCAGTCTATGGACGGTTTGGTGCAAGACAAGCGCGCTCCACTCGTCATCGGAGCCACCAACAAGCCAATGGATCTCGACAGCGCCTTCTTACGCCGACTGCCGCACAAGGTTTCTCTTGGACTCCCGGACGCCAAAGCGAGGACACGAATACTCCTTCTGCTTCTTGAGGGAGTCAACTTGGATCATGTCAATATCGACCATCTTGCCGCCGTAACCGAAGGATTCTCTGGAGCAGACCTGAAAACCCTTTGTAGCCAAGCGGCCCTTGATTGGGCTGTTCAGAAAAATATGGAGTCAGGTCAACCAAGCTCGGAGCTTGAGGCGCGCTTGACGGACGAGCACTTTTCCAAAGCATTCGGTAAGATAAAGCCAGGTACCTCACAGAAGGATCTGGCGTTACTCGAGGAGTTCACAAAACGTTTTGGCCCTGTCACGCGGGCGAGTTCCAACCAAGCGCATTCTGATTCTCCGGTAGAGAAGAACTATTACAAAGTGGCCGGTAAGTTTGTGTCAACCATCAAGCATCTGGACGCTTGCATATCGTGGATGGGCGTAAATCATGCATGTCCTAACACATATTCAGATGCGTGGACGAACTTTCCTGAGAAAGCACGGAAAGTCATTCGTTGGATTGATTCTCAAGAGCCCAACGGAGAGAGTAGCCCATACTTCTGGGAAAAGAAGTTGCTGCCCCTTCTGGTTGACCCACACACAATCGGAGCATGCTGGTCCGACCTCGCGATCCATCCCAAGACTGAGCAGGAGATCAAGGAAATCCTCAATCACCATAGTAACAGCTGCGAATCCACACAATCCTATGGTCTCCTGAGAGGTAGCCATACAGGAGGCGCCCTTGTTTATGGACCGCCTGGGACAGGTAAGACTCAACTGGCACGTGTGCTAGCCCACGAGTCTGGCACAGTCGTCATCTGTGCCACACCGGCCGACCTCGTGAGTAAGCATTGGGGAGAGGGACCTAAAGCAATCAAGGGTCTCTTCAACTTGGGGAGACTACTAGCCCCGAGCATCATCTTTATTGATGAGGCGGAATCGATGTTCCCAGCCAGAGAACTGATGCAGCGCCAGCGCGAGCTGGCCGATATCAACCAACTGCTACACGAAATGGATGGTTTGACGAAGTCAAAGGATACGCCATTCGTTCTGATTGCTACCAATCTTCCTGGACGCCTGGATACAGCTGTTCTACGTCGTGTCCCTAGCAAATTCTACTTGGGACTTCCCACTACGGAAATCAGAGCAAAAGTTTTTGCAGCTGTCTTGAAGGAGGAAATTCTCCATTCTTCGGTTAACGTATATCAACTCGCACTCCTGACGCCTGGCTTGACAGGATCGGACATTCGGACATTATGTGTGCAAACGGCTATTATCTGCGACAAGATTGTGGAAGAGGGTGACAACAAGGGCAAAAGACTCCTCACTAGGGACCATTTTGCGGAAGCTCTCAGTAGAATGAGCCCGACCTTCACTAAAGAGGCACTCTCAGCCATCAGAAATTTCGCAGAAGCGAGTCATCCTGTGGGACTGGAGCAGATGGAAGCATGGGAGGCAGACGCATTACGAGTCCAAGAGTTTTGGGCCACAAGGAAGACTGATTCCGGCGTAAGTGGAGAAAGCCATACTGCAGATTTTCCAAACAACGAGAACACCTCTAATCCCCTCTTCGACGAAGGTCCTCCCGACTCAAGCGGAGGACCTGTCTCCATCATAAACCCACCGGCCGGCTGTCTCGAGAAAATACGTCGGTGTGCCAATTACACCCCCCTACCTACTCCGACATCAATTCGGCTTGTAAAGCTTTACAACTTTACTGGATCTAAACCATGGTCCATGCATGAACCCATCCGGTGTTCAATTGTTCTCGCGGACCTAGCAGACACGCCCGAATATTTCGCTCTCTCATACACGTGGGGTGATCCCCGTACGATCTACACAGAAAAGAATGATGTGCTCTCCGCTGAGGCTTGGGCATCCCCCGCCTTTGAGATTGACTGCGATGGCCATGCTGTGTCTGTCGCCACGAATCTGTATACGGCCCTCGTTTCTATCCGTGGGAAGTTCAGCGAGAGGAAATTCATCAAGCCCATTAGCGAAGATCAATTTCGCCCCAACAATGCCAATTATTCCTACATATGGATCGACGCTCTTTGCATCAACCAGGATGATTTACAAGAAAAGGCCAACCAGATCCCTCTTATGAATCGTATTTACAGTCAGGCCCGTGCTACAATCATGTGGCTTGGCGGCGAGGAGCCGCTCATCAAGAGGGGTGTACCTGAAACCATGGACAAACTTCAACTCGTGGTCAATCGGCTCCGGGAGGAAATAGGGCCCGAAAATGAGGACCTGGTGATTGATTGGTGCCGAACATTCGACATCTACGACCCTGATGCCTATGAGGTGCTTGGTCTGGAGCCTATCGACCTGGTGGACCTTGTTGGCTGGTACCTCCTCTTTAGCCGGTCTTGGTTCAAGAGGGCATGGGTAGTCCAGGAATGGGTCCTGTCTCCGACCTGCTTTTTCCTCTGTGGTACTCTCACGTTTTCTACAGAAGCCTTTTGTAGCATGTTCATTGATTTCTCGCGCCGGCATTGGACATTGCAGATTCAAAAGCTGGTCATTGCTAACCTCTTGGATCCCGAAACGATGGCCATCCCTCATGGGCTAGAACAGTTTAACACCGACCATCGTGACTTTCCTTTGGAGTCTAAATATCGCACCCTGCCGCTGTTTCGGGCGAAATTGGACTACAGCATCTTCGACGAGCTCGATGAGTCTCTTCTGGCTGTTTACATTCTGAGGGATTTCTTTACCGACGAGCGCTCAAAAACCGTGAGTCCCTGATACAAAGCACGTTTGGAATGACAGCTAATGCTAGCTGTCTGCGTAGCCTCCGCGAGATCCAAGCTCGCAGGAGCTATGGAATATCGGCATGTCGATTCAGCTGTTCCGTGGCAGGCGCTGCTTTAATCCACGGGATAAGATTTATGCATTCCATGGAATCTTCAAGAATTCCGACGGAATGTCGATATTTCCCTCCCCGGATTATCTGAAGTCAGTATCTGAGGTCTACGCCGAAGCCACTCGTGCCATCGCCCTCGAGATAGGAATTTCATTCCTTCATTTCCGAGAGTTTCGATCAAGCAACCCTCACGGTCTGCCCTCCTGGGTGCCCGACTATCAAGTACATGATGGCTTCCTGAAGTTGGACAACCCATTTACGCCCACCAAGCATCCGTCCAGCTTCTTCAAAGCTGCGTCCGGTCTGGGAACATCTACGTTGGTATTCAAGGAAAATGATAGACTCGGGTTGTTTGGCTGCCGTGTCGACACAGTGATCCGTCCGGAACCATTCAGACCGCAACCAGGAACTATGGGGCCAGACTGCAGACACTTATTGGAAACACTGCGCCAGATCCCGGAAGAGTCTTTGATTCCAATGCCGCCTTCAGATTTATTGCGTTGTTCAGAGGGTCCAGTGACGTCTGAGGCTACTAAACAAAGCCGATATGAGGTTCTTTGGCGAACTCTCGTCCAAGATCATATAAGCGACCATGTTGCACATCATCCAGCACCTAGCAAGATGGGAGACTTGCTCATGGAGCGCCTGGACGGATTACTTGGAGCACAATGTGGGTATGTTGTGGCTAAAGACGTGAAAGAGCTGTTGGAGCATTGGGGGCAAGAGTCCACGAAATGCGATGACAGCCGACAGTTCTTCGACGAGTGCTCTCCGCTACTGAGACGCCATCAGAGACTTTATCAATTGTTGGGCACCCCATTGATCGGAGCTCCGGATACCGAGTACGATAGACGGACGCAAGTGAACGGCTTATTTGAAATGAACGCAGTTATCGAGATGCTGCAGGGAAATCTCCCTTTCCAAAGCGAAGAGCGGCCAAGCCCAAAAGTGTGGACTCAACATCAGCACCTGTGGGAAGGTTTGCGGGCTGCAATTGAAGCCCGTGATCGTGACAGTTTCAATAAGGTGTTTAGGGATATTTTGCATAATCTCTGTTCCTTCGAGACTTCTTCCGAGACTTCGGGAAAGGCTCAAGAGATCAACGTTGACAGATTCGGTCGAAAGAATATTTTGTTCACAACATCCGAAAGACGGTTGGGGCTGATCGTCGATGGAATCGAGCAGGGCGACGAGATCTGGGTAATACAAGGATTGAATGTACCGGTTGCACTAAGGTGTGTAGGAGATGGATTGTACAGTTTGGTGGGAGTTGTCTATGTTCATGGCATCATGCATGGTGAGGCGGTGCTTGATTCAACAGATGTTGTCGAGTTGAACTTGGTATAAGAAAGCGCACCTTACCTAGAATTTTCGTTTACCTACAGTCATTAATAAATTCAATACAAATAAAAGGGTTCACATGGAGAAGGACAAACTAGAGAACATTTGAAATGAGTTTAGCTGAGGAGTGTTCTATACTTTCCCAACTAATTGCATTGGGTATCTTGAGGAAGTTCTAGTCACTTCTCTACTTCTCGTTAGCATCAGGTTTCCTAGCCGGGTCAATGTATGACGAATTCCGTCTCTCGGGGTTTGGTGTCGAGAAACTCCCCTTGCATTATGCCGTCAACATACGCATCCCCTCGAAAGTAGAAACTCCTTTCATCCCGCGGACGCAAGATAATCGGCGACTCCACGCCCCATACAAGGGTAACCACATCACCAATCGCAGCACCTACATGACAAAGTCCGAACATGCCCTTTGCCGTCTTGAATAGCGTCCGGCGCCTATTCATGTTGCCCACACGTTGTCGCCATCGACGCGCGATCTGCTCCACGTCCTGGCTTTCTGAAGGCCCGCCGTGTTCAAGGAAAAGATTTATATCCCTGCGAATATATGCGATCTGTTCTGCTGTCAAGCTTTCATGGTCTATGCTCTCTACGCGGACGATCTTGCGAAACAGCGCGGCCGCTCCCTCGGTTTCGGCTAATCTGCAGTCACAAGGCAGAGTATGGATAAGTTCGTGGCCTTTACCGTTCGATACAGTCCTCCAGACGTAGCTCTCGGCCGGCCCGGAGTCTGGTCCCAGCCTAACGAAGGCGGCGATCGCCCGGAACCATTGGTCTACGTCTGGCTGGCGGGGCGGCTCATAACTATCTACGCCAATCCACTCTGGCGCTTCCATAACGTCAGTGATCTTGTCGACCAGGCATCCCCGCCGGCGAAGGATTCGTGAAACGTCGAGGTAATCGCCTGGCTCTCGGCTCGGTTGGGGCCTGTCCCGGGCGGCGCGGAACTTTCGCGCATCGTTGACGCCCCACGTTCTGATGCCGCGGGCCCCGACCTCCCTCCAGTCGGGAACCCAGGTGGGCAACGGCCCGTCCGGGTTGCCCGGTGGAAGGTCGGCCAGGCAGAACAGGAAGTCGCCGCGCCCCTTCTCTCCCGTACGGAGCATGGTCCTGGTCGCCTGCGCAAAGACGTCGACGTACGACTGGGCGTAGTCGGCGCGCAGGACCCGCTTCTCCTCCTCGCTCAACAAGCCAAGAATTCCGAACACGAGGTCCCGCGGGTCGGACGCGGCGTAATGGGGCCGGCCAGACGCCACCCTCCTCTCCCAAAGCAGGTCCTGTAGTCGGGGTCGCGCAAAGTCCTCCCGGCCGCAGGTGCGACGCGTGCCCAAGGATAAGACGAGGCAGGCTGTGCCGCCCAGGCCGAGGGATGATACAATCGCCGTGCGATCCATCGTGAACAGCGTGGCGTCGAACAGTTCGACCGGGGCCGACCTGGTGCCAACCATAACGACTGCCCTCGGCGCCAGGACGACCTCCTGGATGATCCAGATCCGGGACCAGTAGCTTCTGGTCAGGATACCTTCAAGCCCACGGCAGATAGGCCCCTGGGTCTTGTAAACCTTTCGGCGGAGACCGTAGACAGCCACACCCAGGCCCCAGCCCTCTGGGACGTCTTCATAGCCCTGTTCGTCGTAGTCGTCGTCTTCGGGGAAAGCCGCACTGATCTCCTGCACCAGGCGAGAGATTGCACCCCATTTCACTCCCAAGTCCAGAGCGCCGCCAGCGTGGAGCCCAGGTCCGAACCTGGAGACCAGGTCCATCACCACATCAGTGTCTTCAGTGCCGAGACCAAGCCACATATAAACTACCTCGGCACCGCTGTAGATGTCACCCATCATCTTAACCTGGTGGTTTTTCTCGGCTAGGTTAGACTGTTCAATACACATGGCGTCGATCCAAAGCCACGACCGAAAATCCTTCTTATGGAACTGCTCTAGCGCGTTGTGTAGACTCCGGGTCACGACGGACGGACACCCGTTAATCTTGATCTTCTCAGTGTCTGCCGGGTTCCCCCAGACATATGATAGAGCCGCGTAAGAGACGCCGTCGTCCAGCGACACGGTCCGGAGCTCGAGTGCGATATCACGTACGGGTGATTTGGCGTGCTCAGCCAGGGGCCGAAGAAGCCTGACGAGCCTGATCTCGTGTTTGGCCGCGTCGAGAGGAGGATAGATGACCATGCTGAACTCGACGGCTCCCAAGCGCCTTTTTTATTGCGCAAGATCGATGGTTATTACCCGTCAGCCTGATATGTTTAATCATAAAGGGGGGTGTGCTTGGGAGAAGGAATCAGGCTGAGGGAATTCAGCACATAAGCAGATCCGCTGAGGAAGCTGCAGCTTAGTGGGTATTGCCGGGCACTGCTCCGCGCAAGCTCTACACTGAAAACCGGCATCTGTGTCGCTGTAATACCCGGGAATCTTTGCGCGCTTACTGGACTTGTTACTACTCCTCTAATATGTAAGCGTAGTTGACTAAAAATGTTATAGGCCTAGGTACTTACTTACCTGAGCAATATACTGACTTTCGGTACTACCTTATCTGCTGAAATGCGTAGTGGCTTAGCGATATCACAGACTATGTTATTTCATACGAAGTTCAGAAGTTCGTGGCAGGTATATACGTTAGAACTAGAATGTGGCACTGAGACTGCAGTCTAGTCTACCATCGGGTGTCCAAGGCCGGCGGGGCCGGCGATGCTTTTCGGACTTTCTTCGTCCGAGACCCGAGAGTGGGGCTACCGGCCGGGCGTCTGCCGCACAGTGGCAAACTGTGAGTAAAATGGAAAGCGCAGAAAAAAAGGTACCTCCGAACTATGAGCGCCCCACCCACGGATCGCACCGCAGACTGGAGCTGGACCCTTCAATCAACCGCGCCACCCCGCCAACACCCCACGAAGTCATCATCAACAACTTCAATTGAAGCAGTCATGGCGAAGACGAAGTCGAAGAAGAGAAAGCAAAACGCGCAGGCCGATGCGCCGAACAAGTTGGCCAAGACGAGCGCGACGACGACGACCCCTCCCCCGACCGACAGCGATGGCGACGCCACCTCCCTGGAGCCCAAGAGCTTGCAGACGGTCATCTCGGACGAGGAGCTCGAGATCGCGGTCGACACTCTCAAGACACTGGCGCAATACCCGAACTTGATCAAGTCGCGAGCATGCAAGGATCTCCGTGTCGCTGTCTACGACTTTCGTCAGGCGTCCGCAAGCGATGCTCGTACGTTTTCGCCACCCGCCATTCCATATCAATTAGAACAAGGACTGACATCTCGAACCTGCAGCTGGATCGAACCTCGGCCTCGTCGCACGCATCACATCCGCCCTCACCGATGAACGATACACAGAAGCGAGGATTCTTCTTGCCGAAATGAAGATCCGCGAGCAAGAGCCGAAGCTCGGCGCCCTGTGTCGCTGGGTGCGAGACCTGGACATCATCAGCGGCTTGTCGACAATACCAGGCGGAGACGGCTCGGACATCAAGCGCAGCGAGCAGGACGAACAGCGCCTCCGAGTTATCGATGCCATCCTTCGCGTGACTGGTCCCGTCGACACCAACCCGAATGCTCTGCCCATATCATCAACACCAGGCATCGCCCTGCAAGAGATCTGGGACTTGCGTCCCTCTACGCCCTCAGAAGAGGTATACGCGTCCGTACTGGACAAGACGATATTCAATTCCGCACCGGCGTCACTCGCTACCGGTCTCCGCATGATCGAGAGAACACCTGGCCCTGACAGAAAGCCCCCCAACCATCACGATGCACTCCTCTACACCAACACGCCCAACACGATCCCCCTCGCCGCAGACCGCACCGATATATCATACCAACCACACCCCATCGTCCCGAATCTGGGCGTGATCAAAAACGTCCTCTCGCCAGAGGAGTGCAAAGCCATCATAGCCGCCGGCGAGACGGTCAATTTCCTCCCCGACGCCCCTCTCCGCGAAGACGGCGACATCAGCATCCTGGCCCACAACTTCTACTGGGTCGTAGACTCTCTCTTCCACGACACCCTGTGGTCTCGCGTTTCAGCACATGTCCCGGCTTCAGTCAAAGGTCGTCTAGCCCGCGGCCTCAATCGCAGGTTCCGCGTGTACCGCTACGTTCCCGGTGCCGAATACCGCGCTCACATCGATGGCGCCTGGCCTCCATCCGATGTCTTGCCGGACGACACGTACGTGTACGACGCCTCGCCCGAAGGAAAGAAGCAGAGTTCCCTGTTTACGTTCTTGATCTACTTGAACGATGAGTTTGAGGGCGGAGAGACGACGTACTTCTTGCCGGCGGCGAGAGAAGGGACGCTGAATGCGTACCCGATCAAACCTGTGATGGGCAACGTTGCGTTGTTTCCTCACGGAGATACTAGTGCGTTGCTTCATGAAGGCACGGGCGTGAGGAAGGGGGCAAAATATGTCATCAGGACGGAAGTGGAGTACGATGTTGAGCCATCGGAAAAGTAAAAGTTTATGATTTATTAATGACAAACCAAATATCCATTTTCCACGAGCTATTTTTAGTCTAGCAACATTGAAAGAATGCAATCGAGGCTTCCATTCCGATTTCAGGTCGTCCTCCGCTGATGTCAAACTTTGGTCTTAGAAGCCTCTGTCTCCCCTTGTCCCAAGTGTGCCGCGCCAACAACCGTCTCGTCGTCATCCACAAAAGCCTTGTCGCCGAAAGCGATTGCTATCTCTTCAAGTGTATGATTCGCGGTTTCGACGTAGTAGAACTTGGCCAAAGCCACTGATATTAAACAGAATCCCGCAATTATGACATAGTAATAGCCTCCAATGCCAGCGAACGCGTCAGGGGCCGACATGCCGATGGCGAAGTTGAACACCCAGTTCGAGCAGGTGGCGAGCGCCATGCCCTTGCTACGAGCTCGCAGAGGGAAGATCTCAGCTGGGAGCAACCAGGGCATGGGACCCCAGGTGAAGCCGTAGATGGCATTGTACTGAGAGGAGCGTAAGCATGCGTTATCACACCACACGCGATTTTAGACTTACGATGACGACAAAGGCATAGATGCCGTTAGCACGAACGTTGATGTCGGGTATGTGGGCCTCAGTGAAGGCGCAGACTATGCTAAGGGCGATGGCCATGAGGATACCTAGATAGTCAGCTTCCCATGGGCAGACGACAATGCTGAAGGCTATGCTTACCTCCAAGGATCAAGAGTGGGCGGCGTCCCCATCTATCAGCTAGCCACCAAGAAAGGGTCGTCGCGGCTACATATGGAATCGAGTTCGCAGCAGTATAGAGCAGCGACTTTGACTGACTCATGCCAGCCTTGGCCAGAGTCGTGGGCAGGTAGAACGAGATGACGTTGATTCCGTTCAGCTGAGCAAACATCTGCGCCGTGATGCCAACAATCGTCCGCTTCCGATAACGCGTAAACATCTCCCTCCACGATGATTGTCCGAGAGTCGCCTCATAGCGAACTGCTTCGCTGATCTCGAGCATGACTTGCTGAACGTGTTCAGCCTGCGTGTTGCCGTCAGGTGTATGCAGGTCGGCGACGGTCTGTATGCACTCCTGCGTGAAGCCATTTCTGGCGAGCCAGCGCGGCGTTTCGGGCAGAATAAAGGACATGGCGAAGAGGATGAATGCGAGGCCCATTTGGATGAAATAGGGACCTTGCCATGACTCGCTCTTGGGCACGAGGTGGTAGAAGCCGTAGTCAACCCACGTCGAGAGCGCGTAACCTCCGATGAGGAATGTGTATTCGACACCTACCATGAGACCACGGCGATGCGGTGCGGCGATCTCGGTTTGGATGACGGGGACGGTCATTGACAGGAACCCGACGCCGAATCCTTGGATCGTTCGTCCGGCGATGAATGTAGCAAAGTCAGGGGCGAAGGCTTGGATGAAGGCGGACGCGAAGTAGATGAAGCCCCCCAGTCGAACGCATCTCTTTCTGCCGATCATGTCGCCAATGTTGCCGGCCATTAGAGAGCCGATGGCGGCGGAGACTTGGAGGCATGCGACGAGGATACCTGTGATGGAGGGGTTGATATCGTCGCTTGACCCATGGGCGCCTCCGTAACCTGCGAAAAACCTCTTAAGGAATACGGGATTGACCAACAGACCGGCCACGATACCTGATTACAGTGTCAGTCAAATATACTCAGAAACAAATTCGAAAATGTGGACGGACCTTGATCATAGCCAAACAGGGCGTCTCCAAGAGAACCGAATGCGCAAGTCATCCATAGCAGAGGCTTACCCCTGAAAGGATAACGAGCATGGACAGTCTTCGGCTTGATCTTTGATTCGAGCCATGAGACGTGCGGTGGTGGTAGATCTACGACATTGGAAATAACAGGAGCGGACTCCAGAAGAGTTGGGGCAGATGGCTTTTCCATCGCTTCGGTGATGTGACAAGACAACTTCGATTTGCTGAATTAGGACGAACTCCAGAATACCTACCCCGTGGGGAGAATCTGGGGTTATTTAAAGCATCGACTTTAGAACTCATTTATGAGCCTTTTACCTGGAGCCGTCGGAACCGGTAGGCGACTGCCAATCGCGGGGCATGGTAGCAGTAGCTTCGTCAACTTGCGACCATTTTCAACCCCTCCCACGATTGAGCCAGCGTAGAAAACGTGCAATAACAGCCACATCCCTGTATTTCCCCAGACCTGAAGTCGTGCTAAAGAATCAGATGACAATATGCCCCTGCGGAGTGAACCGGTTCACAGGCTGAACAGGGGATGGGCGAAGACTCAACATCCGTCGGAACCGTAGATGTGCGTTAGTGGAGTGATTGGCCCGGATCCGTATGTCCATAACATGGGTACCGACACTTCAAGGCTTGCGAAGAGATTTCTTTTTCTTCAGTCGTATCTGGTATACTGAGAACCAGTTGCCGTAGCTTCAGGGAGTAAAGCTACGGTGCCGGTGCGGAGTACTGAGGTTAGATGGCGCCATCGGCATACGTCGGAGGCCGAGATCAGCCAAATTTTCAACTGTGTTTTATGCAGCTAGGTAACGGGTACTACGACGATAGCGAATTGAGAGAAGATCCGCGCTTTTCAGTTAGGTTTAGGCTTCACCTAGAAAGCGCATGATCTTTTCTGGATTGAAGAATGATCATCAGGAGGAAACTCTGGCCCTGGAGGCTCTGTCCCTCGTTGTTCTGAACCTAGCGAGTACGAAGTCACTGGTCAAAGCCCATTTTATTAAGGATCTCGAGATTACGGAACTTGGCCGCTCCACGTAGAGTCCCAAAGCCAGAAGAGACCGTTCGCCCCATAATCTACTGCATGCTGTCCTTCTGACTCCGTAGGACCCTGGTAGGACCCGGCTGCATAACCAATATGCTGCGACTGGCCTCCCAGCAATGCACCCTCACCCCTTGACTCTGACGCAAGGCTAGGCTCCAGGTACTCGTGTTGGAACGGTGGAATAACTAGCGGAGGTTAGCGAGTGAAAAGGAGCTTGCTATGGGAGTGAAGACGTACTCTGCTGCACCGAAGCCAGACTCTCATTCAGGCGCTGTGCAAAGCTTGGATTAGACCCATGCCCTTGGTCTGGCCCGTGAATTAAAATATTAATCACGGACTCAGGCTGGGTGTGAGACGCCCGCTCCGACAAGGCAGACCTGGAGTCGATGTCAGGGAGAGGCCGCGGTGCCGCCGCTGTATCCACCATAGCTGAGTTAGAAGTAGCCGTTCCGATCATGGCTTCGCCCTCGCGTCGAAGAAGCAGGCGGATGAGATTCTTCAGCACGGCACTACTTTGGCTTGACAGCGACGATCTCTGGCCCAGGAGCTCTTCTAACCTGAAGACCTTCGTGATCGGTCTTTTTATCCCCTGGGCTTGGTCGGAAAGCGGGTCCGAAAGAGCGACCAGAATCAGCACAATCGCTGCGTTGAACATATTCATGGCCACAAATGCTACAAGGTGGCTTTCAGTGGCAAGTTGAGTGAGCTGTGGTAGCTCCGTCACGCTGGCAGTTCTGACTGCTGCGTCCCACCATTGTTCTGAAATTGCCGTTGGCTCGATGCCGAACTCCTGATCCTCGTGGGGCGAATGGACACTGCCTTGGGAAGTTAGGCTCTGTGGGACCCCGTGGCTTGCTGATGGCGAAATCATTTCTGCGACGCTGCTACCATTCGGTCCTGGACTGCTCAAAGAAAGGTTTTCTAATTGCCGAGCCAGGAATGGTCGATGTAGCACGATCAGCAGGTTGTCGAACGTCAGCTGTAAAGACAAAGACTGCAGCAGATGCGCGCGTACACTCCATCCCGTGGTAGACGGGTCGTAGTCTCGTTTCAAGTCCAGGCATAACTCCGGAGGCAAATGACGACGCCATGATACTAGCCTCTGGATCACGTTCGTGATGAGGGAGCGATGCTCCGAGTCGAAGTACTGGCATGTTGCGCGTGCAGACAAAGAACCAAATATCTTCTTCAGCGCTGGTGATGCGATGAGGTACAGCTGTGTCAGCTCTGTCTGATATGGCGAGTAGCAAACACCAGTGACATGAGCTTGCGCAGGATCTGACTGAAAGAATGGCGACTCGGTGTATTTTGTCGGCAAATCGACGTTGTAGTCTTCGTCGTTTATACTGAGAGGGCGCCCGTATGAGATCGAGGCGAATCTGACCTGTCAGGATCCACCACAGAAGCGGAGAGAAGGATGTTCAAATGCATACCTATCCCATGTGTAGATAGTCCACCACACCCTCTTACGCTCTTCGATGTCATCAAAAGATCCGTCTTTTTGTCTTCGATGCAGACCCAAGGCGTGAGACATCTTGATGGTTGCACCCAGCAGGGCAAAAGACAGATTTGGTCGACCGTGGTACACATGATGTGACCCTAGAAGTATGAGGGTCTGCACCGCTGCCAGAGATCGCTGATCCATGACCTGAACCAGTCGCATCTCTACTATCTTGAGTAAATCATCGCTCCACAGCCTCCAATCTTGACTATGATCATGGAGACGCTTTTTCGATTGATACCATGCTGCCATACCCAGCACTGTCGACAGTAGAGTCAGGAAAGGTGCCTCAGAGGGATATGCATAGCCATCTTCAATCGACTGGAGCTGGCGACGAAACTTTGGTTCGTAAACGACGAGAGAGAACCAATGGACAGCTTCGAAGTACTCTTCCAATAGCAAATGGATCGTGCCGAGGTCAGGGAAGCGGCCATCGAGAATGGTGGATATCGGAAGACGCTGGCAACCATTCCTTGGGAGAGGAGTCCGGGTACCCGCCCCACCGTCTGGAATGGCTGATGTTTGGTTCTCATCAATTGTTTGGCTTCCCAGTCGATAAATCTAGTGGGAGCGTTTGAGTCAGAAATTGGTAAAATGGTAACAACAAGAACGATCCCTTTACCTTACGGGCGATGCCCATTGCAGACTCAGACTCCCCATAATCTAGCGACGGCCAAGAAATGTGTTGGGTGATCGTTTCTGCAATGCGATCATTCTCGACATTTCCTGCCAGACAGTCCTCCCCCGGAGACAGAGGTTGCTCCGTTGGGAGGCTGATTGCAGAGCGGACATTGTGGCCAATCGTGGCTTGAGGCCGTCTTCCGCATGTTAGTGATTTGTGGCCCTCGAAGATTTCGATACACCTCATCCAGTGGTTGGCTGTTTTCTTACTTTCGCAACTTAGATGCGCGACGCTCACTGCGACTTTGAATGCCTTTTGGGTGTTCGTCCAAAGACGCCTGCTCGCAATCGACGTTGGCTCGCACGCATAGCGAGCACGGCCTGAAGGCATCACACTAACACCTATCAGCGATCAAGCACGCTTGTTTACAAAAGATTTGGATAAAACCTACTCTACTCTTGTTCCGACGGCATCTATTGCATGCGTTAGACACCCGTGTTGGCAGCCGGCGGCTCGCAGTGATAGCCGGAGAGCCGCCATCCGAAGCCTGTTGTCTAGATTCCGACATTGCGAAATGATGAGAGTTGCAGCGTGAAGAAGACGGAACCGAATGACCGGCTGGTATTACAAGACATACTTTGTGGAGTTGGCCTGCACAATCGGTACTGTGCATTCTGGGCTACTACGCAAGGGCTAGGAGCGCAATTGAGCGAGCATTAGCCCAGTACAGACGGAACCGAGACCGAGACTGCTGAGCGATCGACCTAGGACGCGGTTCCGGCGGCACCCCTCACATCCTTACATTTGCCGCATCAGACTCCTTTTCTCCAACTTCCTTGGAACCGGCCCAGGACATACTGGGTCAAGGGGGAGACTGGGTTGACCAATCATATCACACTTCGAGAGAGGAATCAGTATTTGGACAGCCACGACCAACTCGCTATGATAAATGTTCAAGTTTCTGCGCAAAAGCTCAAATACCAATCATCAAATGATCGTTCGTCAAGCTCCTATCTCCTATCTAATTGTGTTCAATTTTTCATGAAGAAAGAATATCTCCCTACAAACGCACCCATCCAATCGCCTGCGCCAAGCAGACAATGCCTTCAGAGTGCCCACCCCCCGGCTATAGCCCACGAACGTCGAACCTCTCTTTCGTTCTCAAAAACCCACACGATGTCGAATTCGTCGAGCGAACGATTCCTCATCTTTCGTCACCGAAGGACGTGATAGTTGCCATCAACTACACTGGAATATGCGGCTCAGATGTGCATTACTGGGACCATGGCAGGATCGGCCACTTCGTGGTAGAAGAACCTATGGTCTTAGGTCATGAGTCCTCCGGAACAGTAGTCGAAGTCGGCAGCGCTGTCACAAGCCTTCAGCCCGGCGACAAGGTTGCTATCGAGCCTGGCTATCCGTGTCGATGGTGCGCCGAATGTCTAGCAGGTCGGTATAACCTGTGCCCTGACATGGTGTTTGCGGCCACGCCTCCACACCACGGCACGCTCACCGGGTTTTGGGTTGCTCCGTTCGACTTCTGCTACAGACTGCCTAAGAACGTTTCTCTCCAGGAGGGTGCCCTTATTGAGCCTCTAGCAGTGGCGGTTCATATCGTAAAGCAAGCTCTGCCAACGACGTTTCCTGGGGCAAGCGTTGTCGTGATGGGAGCAGGCCCGGTAGGCATTCTGTGTGGCGCAGTTGCGAAGGCCTTTGGTGCGACCAAGGTCATTGCCGTCGATGTGATACAAGGCAAGCTGGAATTTGCGAGGGAGTTTGGGTTCACGCACGTGTACTTATCCCAACGCATCTCGGCGGAGGATAATGCCAAAGCGCTTCTTCACCAATGCGGTCTTGAAGAAGGCGCGGACATCGTTATTGATGCAAGCGGAGCAGAAAGCTCAATTCAAACCAGCCTTCATGTCGTGAAAGCAGGAGGCACTTACGTTCAGGGCGGCATGGGCAAGGCTGATATCAGCTTTCCCATCATGGCCCTATGCCAAAAGGAGGTGGCTGCCAAGGGTAGTTTTAGGTACGGGCCTGGTGACTACAAACTTGCTGTTGAGCTCGTGGCCAGTGGCGCAGTACAAGTCGAGAAGCTTATCACTGGTGTGGTGGATTTCAGTGATGCGGAAAAGGCATTCCGCAGAGTAAAGGAGGGCAGCATTGGGAAGACTCTTATTGCAGGTCCTAATGAAGTCTCCTTAGCAGGACAGAACAAGAAGCACACGAGTGTTCTCAAGTAGGACTACTGAAAGTTAGGCTTAACAGATGAAATCGAACACAGAATCAATTAAATACAGGGTCTTTGAGGAGTTACTCGCCGATATTTGAAGCAATTTGTGGCGTGAGGCTTCCGTTGATTCGGTGGGTCTGAAAGAAAGCTTCAATAAACACATCGAGCATTCGGCCAAGACAACTTCAGGCATTACCAAAGGCAGGTGAGATACATTGCAATCTTGACCTTGATTTTCTGAGGGCTCTTAGGAAGGAAATTCAAAGTACTAAGTATATGCGAAAAATTCAAACGATCCAAGCATGTTGGACTTACTGGGCCATAGTGGAGACAGCTACGCTGTGCCGCAGACTTTTACGCATCATGGCGCGCCAACAAGCAAGAGGGGTCTGCATCGGCCGTTTGCCTAGATGCAGATCTTCCCCTCACTGGGTAATCCTAAGTCACCCGATTCCAGTATGATTCCAACACTGTGATATGCAGTACTTGGACCAGTCACTCATCGTGACGGTGACCTTACAGCGACGGCGCCCACCACAGCATGGAGCATCTGCGTTGCCCGGCTGGAGTGCAGAAGCTGCATTACTCACAACCTAAGAAAAGGCTCTTGCAAACGTCCACATAAATACAAATCATGTCCAAAGTAGTGCTGGAAGAAACATCATCCTTCATACTCTCGTCTTGACGGTTTCTTCGCAACATCATCCAAATGCCGACAGTCGAAGAGTTTCAGCTCCATCCCACTGGGTGGGAAAATGATCCGGATGAGGAGCTATTCAAGTTGTCAACGCTCGACTATCTATCGGCGATGACTTACAACAACTACGCATTGTTTTTCAACGTCAATGATGACCACAAAAGATTAGTAGTCATTGTTGTTAGGGGCAACGAGGTATATTGTCAACTCTAACACTTCAACAGTCAAGTTGCGGACATACTGAGGAAGGGCTTAGAAAGGACACTCAGCCAGACCCGGCACCTCGTCGGCACCATTGAGAAAGATGGCGATGGCCACCACTCTATCGTCAAGAAAAAGCCCAGCACTGTCAAATTGGTCATCCAATATCTCGACTCTCCTCAGGATGATTTCGCTTCGTTCGACGACATTGAAAAGGCGCACTTCCTGTCAGCTAAACTCGGAGACATCAACATCTTGAGCAACGCTCCTATGACTTACGGCGAAAAGCCAGAAGCTCATCCAGATAACAGCCCCGTGGTTGCTTCTTACAAGGCAAATTTCATACCGGGCGGACTCATTTTCAACATGCACTCCCACCATTACAGTAATGACGTTGTAGGGTGGGCCAATTTCGTGAGACAGTTGGCAGATAACTGTCGCGCCATGTTCAATAATAGCGAGCTTCCCTCCTTCGACGCCAGCTGTTTGGACCGCAGCCGCTTCATGGCGCCACTGGTGGCAAAAGACTCGCGCATAGGTGCACCTCCTCAGGCCGATCGCCACCCAGAGCACAAGCTCTCTCAATGCCTGATCTTCCATCTACCCGTGAGTAAGGCAGCAGAGCTCAAGAAGGCCGCTTGTCCCAGCGACGGCTCATGGATATCCACATATGACGCTATCTCCGCTCTTACTTGGCGCGTTTTCTCACGGATCCGTCAGCCCTTGTACAATCTGGATCCAGCTTCTTGTCCAATCTGGGGTGAGGGGGTCACCATGAGCAAGCGCCTGACCAACCCAAAGATGCCGACGCGCATGCAGGGAAACCAATTCTTCGCAACATTGTCAACCCTTTCCGCGACTCCACAGTTGACCACTGCTGAGATAATTTCTGATGCTCCCCTATCCAAACTGGCAAGCTACATACGCCAAATGACCAATGGGGTCACCGAAGATTTGCTGAAAGGGGCCTTGCAGATGCTGGCACCTATTCGGAATAAGGCGGACCTATCGGTTCGCGTCAACTCTTTCCCACCAATGACTGTAGCCATGACCGATTGGCGAGACGCGGATGTGTGTTCAGCCGACTTTGGCTTTGGGAAGCCCAGTGCCTTTCGACATTTGCTGGACACCATGGCAGAGGGATTAGTAATTGTGTATCCTCCCCATCGTGGACCGGCCGGCGAAGACGAGGGTATCGAGCTACAGTTTGCTTTCGAAAAGGAACTGGTACGGGAGTTGTTGGACGATCCAGAATGGAAGAGGTATTTCGAGTTCAGAGGTGTTGATGCTGAGGAGGCAACTCAACCATATGGTGTCATGGAGTCTGCTTCACAGATCTAATGCCGACGAGGTGGTCCGCAATCATACACTTGCGGGTAAGCAGACTTCAGCCTGAACAGTTGGAAGCCAGACGATAGGTAATACGTCTATTCGTTGACATTTGGAAGCTTGTCATCAACAATTATTGGACGGTCTGGGAACTTATCATCAACTGATGCAATTGCATGCGTAATCACGAAAGAGTGTGTATGTATAAGTATGATTCAGCGAAAGGTATTGGTCCCATCCATAAACGCCAACCGCCCTATCCAGTGCGAATCCCGCACGTATGCCAACCGGTTCCCAATGCTAATTCTAGCCAATGCCCCATCATGCTGATACCCACTAAAGACAAGAAAAGTTACAGCCCCAAAAGCACAACCAAACTCCACAGCGATGGACACCCCTAAGCGTATTTACTGAGCAGCGCCGAAGATCTCGTTGAGATCACGCTTGGCATTGCGCTTGATGCCGCACTTGTTCAAGCAGGCGTCGATGCCGAGAGCAATATTGGCGGGGATGTGCTCACGGAAGCTCTCGAGGTCAGCGCCGTCAATGGTCTGGACACCACCAAGAGTAGCAGAGACGACATCCGGGCGCAGGTTGAAGAAGGTTTGGGCAACCTGCTCAACACCGGGGTCGACGTTGTTGAAGCCGGCAACGAAGACAGCGTCCTCACAGTCGGGGTTGAACTCCTGGTGGATGGCGCCCTGAGGGAAGACGGACATCTGGAAGGTGTTCATGGTGTTGGCTATGGGCTCGACGCCGTTCTCGACTTGGAAGTTGGTGACGAGACGGCCCTTGACAATGACGTTGAGCTCGGTGGCCCGGTTGTGGACGTGGGCGGTGTTCATGCCGCAGGGGCCGAGGAAGCCGAGAGTCATGGCGGCGCCGTTGCCGATGAGGGCGGGGAAGGTCTTGGCCGTGGCGGAGGTGGAGAAGCCGCCCTTGCCGCGGGACTCGGAGCCCTCCGGGGCGCCGGAGTCGTTGAAGTCGAAGACGAAATCACCGGGTTGGTTGAGGAGCTTGACGCGGTCTTGCTGGGTGGGAGCGGTCATGAGCTTGGTGATGAGGTCTTGGTTGCCGGAGCGGGTGTTGACAGGGACGATAGGAGGGAGGACGTCGTCGATGGAGCCGCCGTTGTGGCCGTCGTGAGAGTAGCTGGTGTTGGCAGCGGGAGCCGAGGACATGGTCTTGGAAGGGGCCGGGGCAGCGAGGGCGGCCGCAGCGAAGAGAGCGGAAGACAGGATGATGGAGGAGTGCATCTTGATTACTGTTATTGTTGATTTGGTAGTGATAGTTGATGTTGTATTTGACAGATAGGAAATCCTGACTGACAAAGGAAATAAGGAAATGGAAAAGGAAAAGTAGGAAAATGGGAACTGGTCTGTAAGATGTTTGGTTGCGTTGATTGTGATGACGAGGAGAGAAGAGACGGGAATAGAGGTTCAAACATCATTGTTATATACATGGAGAGGCAAAGATCCGGCGGAAGACTGTTTTCGATAATCGTAACCGTCTATTTTCGTGGGTGCTGTTGTTGGTGCTGTGCCTCCTACGATACCCGGCACCGATAATCATCCACGATGTGTTGTGGTGTGGAGTGTGATGTGCGCCAGGCATCCTTCATCTGCAGTGCACCCGGGAATGGCATCAAGCTTACGCCGGGCCGGTAATAGCAACACCCACCAGCACTAGGTCAGCACAGCCTGGCAAACTGCAGAATGGAGATACACATTAGGACTGCTGATGCTAAATGAGTTGTAACTGGCGAATCACCGGAGATGCGGGTTTCCTAGCGCATCTTGGCGCTGATGGGCGACAGGGATTGACGTTCGTTGGGGGCTGTCCCGGGCAGTGTGGTGCCAACTTGCTGGGTTCACCGCCGAAAACGAATTGGAGGGCTGAAGGCTGGGTTGGTTGGCCGCAGCAAACTGGCTGATCCGTCAGCAGGCAGCTGTGGTTGTAAGGCGAGTCAGTCTGGGGAAAGATGTTTCCTCGGTTGGTGTTAGTGATTCCAAACTTCCTCCACGTGGCATGGGCATGAGGTAGGCTTTGAAATGCTGGCTGCGTCCGAATTGTCCGAAGGCTGACAAGGGATTCATCGTGTAGGCCTACTAGATCATGGTTCTACCGGCCTATTTACCAGGTGCTTGTGGCTTTCGGAAGTCCGAGCGTGCTGGCTGCATGGATCAACTTCAGACGGCCAGAGCTTGTCTCTAGAAGATGGGATGACATTTGAAACGAAACTTTCACTGAAGCATCAGGCATAACGTTGAACGGCATAACGAATCTGTAAATTTCCAGCTGCAGTAAGGAAGAACTTTTGACCAGGCATCCACAGAATAAGTGAGGGGAAAATTGACGAAATGATTCCATTGTCTAAGCCACATAGCTGCAGGTTGAATCCTGCCACTGTCAACTGTGGGAGATGTGAGCTGCTGTCTTGTAGAACCACATGTCAGCACGTGTAGTCTACGCAGCCTCTAGCTCATATTATTGTGCTTACTTCAGGCTGGAGACAAGAACCCCACGCCATCCTTCCAGCGTACATGAAGCTGATAATCCCTCCGCCCATAGTGCTTACAGCGCCTTGCACGGCTACAGCCTGGGGAGCTCCGGCTATGCTCAGATGTGTCCCCATCAATCATTTCAGGGCCAAAGACAAGCCGGCTGCGGCAGGAGACGTAAGCTTAAAATTGAATCCTAGACTTGGCGACTTGAAGAAAACTATTCCTCCAGAAGTTGAACAAATACGACGGGAAAAGGTTCATTCTCGGACTCTGCCCAGTAACCAAAAATTGATGTTTTGGAAGATTCGCGTCCAAAAATATCGGCTACGTAATCTCACAAGCGGCATACTCCTTTCCAGCGGCGCAAATCGTGTGGTGACTCAGGATTGGCCTCTTGTTCTGTGGAATCAATTCCGTTGTATTACCCCTTCTGGACATTAGCTGCCTACAGCGTAGACTATTACATGATGACTCCTTGTAACTTCGACTGCCTCCGATAGAACGCTAGGTCGTCTCCTGTTCATCCAGCCCCTTCTTAGTAGACATAGAAGTTGGTGGCATTGGGGTCCTCCCGTCTCTTCTTGTTGTTCGTGCGGATCAAAGCCCACCTCATAAACCAGGCGCAGATGACAACACCGATGGAAAAGCCAATGCTAGCGCACATGGCCGTTAGGAATCGAGGGGAGTCGGAATCGGGCCAGAGGTACGGCGTGTAGATGCTAGCCGCATTACCTAAGGTGTTCGCCATAGCAATCGCCACGGCCTTCTTCTCATCAGTCTGGCCGAGAACGGAGGAGGTCCAGCCCAAAATAAGGTTGTTGACACCATAGGTTGCGCCAACGAAGAGCATAATACCAGTGTATCTCACAGCCATATTGAGAGACGCGACGGACATGACGAAACCGATGCAGACAATGAGCTTGCTGATCGTGATATGCCAGGTGCGCTCGTTGTACTTTCCGGATGACCAGGGAACCAGGACGGAAAAGAAGGCTGAGAAGACGTAGGGAGGGCAGGTGAGGACGAGGGTGACAGTGGTATTGAACTTGAGGGTCTTGACGACGGTGGGGAGGAAGTTCTTGAAGCCGTTGGCCGACAAGTGGAGGTTGTCCATGAGGCAGAAGACCCAGGTGCGCCAGTCCATGCAAGCCTCGCTGAGACCCTTCCAGACGGAAGTGCCTTCGCGACGGTCGGTTGTGTCGTTGTAGATTCTGGTATAGGCAAGTTGACGTTCCTCCTCAGTGAGCCAACGAGTCTTGAGGGGGCTGTCGGGCAACATAAAGAAGGCGAAGAAGGCGACCAGGATAGAAATTGCGCCCTGGATGATAAAGAGCCTGTGAGACGAACTGTTAGCCCGAGAATCCTCGTTACGAATACCATGAGACATATTCTCAGACTCACCATTGCCAGCCATGAAGGCCCCTCATGCCCTCCATCTCAGAGAAAATAGGGGCGGCAATCAGACCCGAAAATGCGGATGCAGCCATGTTTCCGGTGTAAAAGATGGCCATGCGACTTGAAACCTCCTTGCGTGTATAGAACATGGAGAGCATGTACAAGGCCCCCGGGTAGAACTATCTCACATTATTAGTCTGTCGAGTCGTTCTGATTACTGCACGAATTCATCACCTACAGGTGCCTCGGTAATTCCGAGGAGGAAGCGGCAAGCAAGCATGGTGGCGAAATTGTGGCATTTGTATGTCAGCAGACTGACGACGGACCATGCCATCATGAAGCCAGCCATATACCACGATGGCCGAACTCTGTTGAGAATCATGTTGGACGGAACCTGGCCGCAAAGATAGCTGCTGAGAGTTAGACAGTCCTATACGTGGTTTCAGTGTACATAAAGCACCTACCCGACAAATAGAATTGATACACAGGTGTTGTACTGCTGACCGACTAGACCTAGGTGGTCGGCGAGTCCGTTGAGCTTGCCGTTAATCATGGCGTTTCGGTCCAAGAAATTGAGGAAGTACATCACCCAGAGAATGGGCTGTGTGAGGCTAGGTCAGTCGCTACTCAGAGAGGCAATTCCGGGGCTGTCCGGGCAACATACGAGGATGTACCAGTCAATCTTCTTCACCAGCGCAATTTCTCTGGGGTCGGTCTTAGTGTGCGCGCCGAACTCGTCCACCTTCTCGACTACTGGCTGCTTCATGAGAGCCGGATCATCGGTTGTAAGAACGTGTTCCATTTGGTTGACTCCGACCTTGTCCTGAGGCGAATCGGGCCTGCCGGTGTGAACGTTGGTCGTCATATCGACGTTTGGTGTTGGCGGAGCGTCCGGTTAAAAGGGAAGGAGACACGCGGTGTCTGTAAGGAGATGAACGACGAGCCTGGACAAACTTCCAGTTCGACTTTGGGTTGCCGGTGAAACTGCTTTCGACAACGGATGCCTATGAGGTTCGCAGGTTGAAGAACGAGGTAGGATCAAGAATCAGCTGAAGGCAGCTACGATATATATCCCCATATTTACGAGCCCCGTCCCGACCAGGTCCATGTATATCCACCGTTCGCAGCCATCGCGTCGGGTCCAGATGAACGGAGTCAGGCCAGCTTGATTGGTGGAGTCGAGGAGCATCCCCATGGGGTAGATGGGGTACGGCAGCTTTTCCGCGAGTGCGGAGTGCGGGGAAGAGGAGGCAGCCAAGGCCTCTTTTTAAAGGGCGTTCACATCCCGAACTAGAGCAAACGCCTGAGGTGCAGGTGTCGGATTCCTTTCATGGCTCGGCGGTCGGGGTCTAGTACCGTGGCGTCTACAGATGGTCCTAGGCTTTTGCAAGGTCACCTTGTGAAGGCTGTTATTGCTGTCGCGTCTATTTTGTCTAATGGTAGCGCGTCACCATCTCAAAGATTTATATTCCAGGTCATACCAGCCATCGTTCGACTAGAGCTTGGTACCCCCTGATACGGATCTCGCCCTCAACACTGAAGCATTTAGATTTCACTCAGTACCACTACTTCTTCTTCTACACGACAAGTTGCTACTATCATGAGAGCTTGGCTACAGACTCGAAGCGGCGCAGCGCCACGATATCCCCTGTCGGTACATGCCACCCCAACTCTGAAAAAGCTTGGCAGTGATGGCGTTTCTACGCGTTTTCCCCGTCACACCACCTTGGCCTTGGGCTGGTATGCCAAGGCAATAGCGGAAAACAGCACGGAAAACCTCGTTTTCTGAACGGAAAATGCTCGTTATCTTGGTCCTTTCCAAGCTCTTCCAAGCACTTGGCCGCGTAGATCATCAGCCACGTCTGGGCAATGTTTCCTAACACAGGAGCTTATTTACACGATATTTAATCTCGGAAAAACCTACGTTATCTGAAAATCAGTCACAAACGGAGATACGAATGTTGAACGAGCTGGCTGTTGGCCAGCGTTTATTGTCATGTGCCATATGGTCCTAGACGGCCTCTTGAACTATTTTGATGTTTGTGTAAATGCATGCAGGTGGCTGACCCACGGTGGATGCTATGCTCCCAATTGTCTGCATGCATATCCCACCAACCGGTACTAGACGGAGTAGTATTCGGCTAAGGACCCGTACAATGTCCATTGTAGATGGACATATCCGCATTCCTGGAGATAGGCGTGAGTCAACCCCAGATCTCGTACAACGGACGCGATTTCATAGGTTTGGGCCAGTCTACTCGGATCCGATTGCAACATAAAACTACCAACACGTTTGTTTAGTGGGGTTGGTTGGGGTGCAGGTGAGTCCCCCTTCTCCAGTCTCCTTTTGACAGGGTTGCAATGCGGAGTGACAGTGCAGGGTTCGAACACATGGGCTTTTGGCCGCTACCTGTCGGCTCCGTTCCTCTTGACTAGCCCCGAGTGCTGCTGCTTCGCAGACAGCTCTCTGAAAAGAGATGAGGGCCCGTGGCATGCCACTCGACGTGTTCGGACTTAAAGACCGCGGATCAACGCTTAATGGCACCCAAAGGGGGCATCCAATCATTCATCAGACAGCATGCCAGCACACTGCATCCTTATGGTTCGACTTTTGCTTGGTGGACATGGTACCGTGCTTTTCCAAGGAGCATAACCCGTCGCCAAGGGCCGCATCTGCGTTGGCGTTCATCTCTTGTTACTCCTTGGCATCCTTGGGCTTCTTCCGAAAGTCATAAAGCCTCTCACAACCGCCTGGTAGATATCTTTCCATAGGTCTTTTGATACCCTCGCCAAGGGGGCTAATCCAACATTCCCGTGGACACGGGTCGCACATGCTTAAACACAGCCACCAGACAAAATGGAGGAGTGGAAACGGATAAGCACCAACAACAGCGGGTGTGGCTTGGTTTGAGTCACCCTAGTGCGATTGGTGCTACATCTAGACCGCTTCTCACAACTAGAAGATATCGCATCTTGAGAACAAGACATCGGATACCTACTCCTCTAGTGACAAAACCTTCAGTACCACAGGTTTTCTCAAGATTGTGACAACAAAACCCATAGCGAGTTCAACCTGAGGATACGGCTAGTTCAAATTTTTAATAGACTTTATCCGGAGAACTCCACGCTAATCCCAAAGCAAAACAAAGACAACAAAGCTACAGACGTCCTACACGAGGCAGATCTCGCCTCGTGTCGACTTTGAGAAATTTACATCCCACGAGTAAGCACCGGCCACAGACTTCATCCGTGATTTTGGCATCTCTGTTGGCTGAGACTCAAGCTCGACAAGAAACTGGTCTGCTTCTATCAAACGTGGGTCGATCAGCGCAGGCTCAATCCATCTGGGCTCTTGTGGAGCCTTCAGGTTCGAACTATCATTCCTTGGATCGTTAGCCATTTATTCGAATTCCCCGGTAATTGAACACTCACTTTATAAGAGCTTTCCTCTTCACCGGAACGACTTCCTCGGGCGGAGAACTTCGAATCACGACGAATTCGGTGAAGAGGTCCACGCCGCCGTCTGGATTCCGTTGGTGAAACCCGACCACCTTTCCTGTCACCCTCTCTCCTCGAACCCATCTTTGCTCATTTTCCGCATCCATAGACACGTCGATGACTCTAGTATTTCTAGGAGGCCAAGATGTTGGCGGGAGAGTCACCGGTCTCAGGTAAGCATCCAGTACGATTGCATGTTCAATCTCGACCATCCTCCGGGCTACCGCAACCAAGCTGTCCATTTCCCACAAACTCTCGCGGGGAAGGCTCAGCAACGGCATAAGCTGCAGAATTTGCAACCTCGTTTCGAAATGGCGGCATGTGCAGACGATCGAAAACAGCATTGGTAAGAACCCAGTTTCGAATGAAAACTTGGGCGACAGGCTGGAGAGGTGTCGTAGCCGTGTATCGGGCGATATCTCATCGGCCGTTGCTTTCAAAGCCTTTGCGACCCTTTTGAAGTTGTCCAGATATTGGTCGAAGCCGCATTCGTCACCGCAAAGGGCGAGGTTCAGCCATATCCTGCAGCATTCGTACCGCGTGATCAGGAACCCTCGTAGCAGCTTTTGCCGGTCGTCCTCGGCGTCCGTTGCGGCAGAGTCATAGAATACTCGGCTGTTAAGACTGGAAAACAGCTCATGCCATACATCTAGTAGATAGTTGATATGGCTTTGTGAGTCGAGGACGTCTCCAGGTACAGGAGTGTCCCTCGCAAGTCCAGATCGATAGGGATCCAGACGCTTGACAAACTGAAACGTACGGTTGTAAACGTCATCAATCATCAGCTGCGCGTCGTGGTATGTCGGGAAGTACTCCGGTATCGGGCGCTCCAACCCCTCGAGGTCCGAGCAGTCTGACTTCTCCCCAAAGAAAAATGACAGTTCGACCAGTCTGCGAAACAAGGGGAGAAGATGCTCCTCCATCCACGAAAAGTCTCGGCACACGCTTCGTAGAATCGCAACACCGTGTTTGCAGTGTCTCACGGCGGCTTCGCGGTTTGATTGCAGAAACTCGATGCAAATAAACAAGACGCACACAATCAGCACGATAGGCTGCTTATCGCGCGTCTGGATGGCCTTGAGCTCGTTGATTGCGGCGTTGTAATGCTGCAGGGCAAAGCTTTGGTCTTGCAAGTACAGACGACGCTGCGGCTGCGCGGAGCCTTCGATTTGTTCGTATAGATTGCTGATGGCGATGAGAGAATGCCTTACTGACGGCTCAAACGTGCTGAACTGCATTACGATGTGCGTCCAGAAGTAGGGGTCGACGGTGCCGGAAAGAAAGGGGCCAACGGTCTCGCAAAAATACTGCAGCGCTCGGCCCTCAGTCTGGCTAGTGACACCATAGAATACACGGTGTGGTTGGCTCGTTGGAACCTCCAAGACTGCCTTGGCTGTTGGTGGCGGCTGTTGATAGCCATCGCATTTGCGCCCGGTGGAGAGACAGCGAGTGCATGATGGTTTTGTCTCGTCGCACTTGACTTTGCGGATCCTAGCGAGCGTTGGTCTCATGCACATCGAGAAACTCTCAACTGACTAAGAGTAGACAACTCTGACTTACTTGCAGGTTATGCATCCTGTCCGGACTTTGCGGCTGCCTTTGCGAGCCATGTGGGCAAGATGCGGGGTTAGAGTCTTTTTCAAAGATGAACCAGACCCGATGTGAAGCGTCGTAAACCACCGTCGACTAGCTATGATTATGTCTGGTTTGGCGTTTCAATTCAGTAATAAGAAGTACTCCTTTGTTGCAGACTTGGTTGGCTGAGGTGTGGTGGGAAGATCCATGAGTCTGAGCGCCTCTCCCGAGTTGAAAAGGGTGACGGGGCGAGATCTTATCTGATCCACTCATTTGAGATGAAGTGGGGTTTTCAAGGGTTGAGTCCGATGAGGCCAATGCCAGCCTGCGGTTAAAATGTTGCCTAGTCCTAATCCCCTTGCTCCCTCTTGGCATCCGGCCTGATCCTCTCTGGGTGCAACGGGGAACGGCGTCGTGGTACCACAGAAAATCTTCAACAGCCCGGAATGTGCGAATAATGTTGTATCGGCCTGCTGCCCGGTTCTTTTGCTGCTTCTTTTTTGGTTAACACGCCCACCAACTCGGCCGAGTGTAGGATCACGGACCCCGAGAATTGGAAGAATGAAGACGCCGCGAATCGTTCGGCACAGCTATGTAGGGCCCGCATGCTGCGATGCGACTCAAAAACAGGATTGGCGGAGGCATGCTTATGCTTATTATTAGAGGAGCCCTATGGAATCAATGGTCCCGATCGGGGCCGTGCCGCAACTCCATCAGGCAGCCGTTTCGTGTTCTATCTCGGACTGGAGACTCAGCCCTACGGATGTTCATCTGATTTCACTTCATTTGCAGTGAACTCTAATGCATGAACTCGCAGTATGGCGGGCTTCATATTTCTTGGCTGTGGCAAGCGGTCAACACCTCCGCACGCTGCTACGTCTTCCTTGGTGATCATTTCTCTCAACAGATCGTCGCGCCATCATCCAAATTTCAATTGCCTCAAGAGAGTAGATCAGAGGGTCCTTGAGGTGGACTAGCAAGGGGGTTTCGTGGGCTAGGCCTATTCAACACTCTTCGTTCGGCCCCTCCACCCGGAAGCACCGGATGGCCGGCCTCTGCAGGCAAAATCTCGGCCAACATGTGCGATGTTCTCCACGCATCGCGCCTGTGCCTTCTGATTATTGCCTAAACTCCTATTAATATGCAGCAACTCTAAAGCCTCATGTCCTATCAAGAGCTAGGTAGATCAGACGTCAATCAAGCTCTCGATTCGATTGGAATATGACTCTTTTGAGGTTTGAAAGTAACATGGGGATGGAGTCTTCCGCTGTCCTGTTCCAATATCAACTCAGCCCATCTACAGTCGTCATGCAGCCTTGAATCAAGAATAAGTAGTCTAACACTAACGCATAAAACATTCAATATCCCCTCTGTTGAGAGTAATTCTCTTTTGTGAAACCGGCTAGGTGACTCAGCAGCAGCCGAAATAGGTCTCAGGTCTGAGGGCTGAAATATTCGACGTCTACTACGTCACCGTGACCAGCACATTCTTGGATCCACAATTGCATTCCGGCGCCCAAGCTACAATAAAACAAAAACAAGATGATTGCTTGAACTCAACTTCAAGTTCACATCAGAATACCATCTCCGTATCACACTCACAATCTTCTAAAAAAAAAACACCACAATGGCATCCTCCATCCGCTCCCTCAGACTGGCCCAGCGCGTGCCGCAAGCGCTCACCCGCGCTTCCCCCCGGCCACTTACACCCAGCATCACCATCGCCCACCAAACACGCCGCCTCCTCAACACCGACACCGCGCCCGTCCTCTACAGCGCGCGCGCCAAGGTTGTAGGTGCGCGGACGGGTCACGTCGAGGGCGACGACCTCGTCGTGGACTTGACGATGGCGAAGGCGCTCGGCGGCGCGGGCGACAAAGGCAAGACGAACCCGGAGGAGCTGTTCGCGGCGGGCTACGGCGCGTGCTTCCAGAGCGCGATGAACGCGTCCGCAGCGAGCATGAAGATCACCATGCCCAAGAAGCCCGAGGACTCCATCGTCGACACGACGGTGCACCTTGTGGGCGACATGAAGAAGCTCGACATGGGCATCCGCGTGGAGATGAAGGTGCGTGTCAAGGGGTTGAGCGACGAGGAGGTGCAGAAGGTTGTGGACAAGGCGAAGGAGGTGTGTCCGTACAGCAGGGCCACGAAGGGGAATGTGACGACGACGATTGAGGTGGTCAAGTTTGGTGAGGGTGGGGGGTCCAAGGGATCTGAGGGCTCCAAGGGCGCAGACAGCTCCAAGGGCTCAGAGGGAGAGGTGGATGGGGTGAGGCCTAAGGGACACAGCGATTATCAATGAGTTTACTAGGAAGATACTTTGAGTGAGCATGAGACTCATACTCGGTCTCTCATATCAAGACACTGTTTCACTATCACTATAACTATTTGTACTAATAATACTACTCGGCATGAATTTCAGTCTCGTCATTCAATGACCATCAGCAGTGTCGATGGATTCGTCAATAACTCCATCAACGTAAAGACAGGCGTTTCCGAAGTTCTCAGAGTCTTTATACCTCATACACCCGAACACAGCCATTCAAATAACCTCACCAATCACCGGCCACGTGATTTGCGTTCGCCTTGCCAATTTATTGATACGCATGAGGTGGTGAAGGCGTGCATGGTTGCAGAAGAAGCTTCATAGGCGTTCCTTTAGCAACCAACTCCTCATCTCATTGGTGCCATCGTTGCGGGCCGGCGCTTGACCGTCGTGGCTGCACGTGTTGCAAAGGCACATCGGCTGCCGAAAAACACCCCTGGTCTCGATTCACGTCCTGTGCGTATGCCACAGCATTACGACCAATGCTACCCTCGCCAGGGTTGGGCACTTGTTGACGGAGGTCGAAGTTGGGATCTGCGGCGGCTGGGGGTGCTTGATAGTAGCCCTGGTCCACTTGATCGCTTCCCCCGCCGTACCTAGGTACTTCGTGGCCGCGGTTGTTGGTGATGGGATATGTAGCGGCGGGATGTGCTTGATAATGGTCCCGGTCTTGATAGATTTGATAATTGCTACCTTCGCCATGGTGAGATACTTCTTGAGGACGATCGTAATGGTTTTGATAGTTATATGCGGCAGCGGCGGTTGCTTGAGAAAACATTTGGTTGTGATTCGTTTGACCACCACTACCCCCGCCATAGTCATACACTTGTTGACTGCGGTCGTGAGTGGGGTATACACTGGCGGGGGTTGGTTGATAATAGGCGAGGTCTCGATCCAATTGACCATTGAAACCCCCTCCATGGCGGGATACTTCGTGCCTGCGGTTGAGGTCGGGATACTCAACAGGAGGGGGTGCTTGATAATAGCTCGGGTCTTGACGAGCGGGAGCAGGCGGTCGCTGGCGTTGGCCATTGTCGTCCCTAGCTCCCTTTATTTCCGAAAGAGGAGGAGGCAGCGACGTTGCGTGGTCAAGAAGGTATTGTCTCTCAACTGGATCTTCGATTATTGACCACGCATACCCGAATCTCTGCATCTCATGCCAGACGCTATGAAGCTCCGGGAGGATTCTGTTCCTTTCTGCCACAGTGCCTTGGGTGCGGTAGTTGCTGGGTTCAGAAGTTAGCCGCGGGTGGAAGGGGTACCACGGAGCCTCAAAAGCCTGCAGTCTGGGCCGCATGTCCACTTGGTTGACATTGGCGTACATCGGCAGGAGTCGATCTCGTTGGCCTCCCGCGATCAGATGGACGTTGATGTTGTTGGCGGGCGGGGCAGGCTGAATGTTGACGAAAACCCGGGCAGGGCGGACATTGCTGGCGGCCGGGGAAGCAGGAAGGAAAACCTGGTCCGGCGAGGAAGAGGGACGAACTGTCGACGATCTCCTACCCTCGGAAGCAGGTGTGTCCTCTCTGAGTTCGTGGTCGATGTCCATGGGTTGAATGGACGCCGCTTCTTCAGGCCTTTTGTTGTTCCCAGCCATGTTGGAGACTGCGATTTGTGAGTTGTGTAGTGTAGAATTATCAAGCTGGCGAGTTTCTGATCCGTTGGAGCAGAAACTGAAGGACTACTCGCATGTTTCCCAGAGACAGAAAGAGTGTCAAACAAATGCAGTATTCTTTTAGTCGAAGAAAACTTCGGTCCATGGAGAGAACCTGTGCAAAGCTTGCAAAAGGATTTTCTGTCTCCTGCCAGGAAAACGCCAAAGGTTATTTGCCCAATCCATACATGTAGTCCTGGTTGCCTTCCAAACATCTTCTTCAAGCTGCGATATCGTGAAGCTCGTAGCACACGCATGACCTCAACTCGAATGACAAATGTCGGTAATGATGTGTCCCAATCACCTACCACTCCCAATGAAATCAGCACTTCCACAATGTCTTTGCTTATTCATTCTGATCGAAATTTTCTGCTCTAAAGAGCTCTACTATAAAACTCCCGAATACTTGTCCAGGAAAGAACATCACCTATCTGACCCGACAACATGGGATGCTTTTGTCAACTTGCAACCCACCCTAGCCGCCAAGCGAAACTTTGCCATTGGCTTGAATTCGGTACCCTGGGGGGTTAGGTTGTCAGCTGCGACCAACAGGTTGGTCTCTGACAAGCAGGAAACAAGCGGGTCGGCCGGGTTGGGTTCCAACACGACCAAGAAATCCACCGTCAGAACTTTGGCAGCGGTCAAAAAGGTGGTCTGTCCCGCCGGGCGTAGGCTGTTGGTTCATTCTGGTTCGTGTTCTCTTTTCTTTTCTCATTTGGCTGGGGTGTCGTACGACAGGAAACTGCTGTTGGAACGACCAAAGGTTCTAGGGGTATTTTTTGACGGTGTGATCAGAAGAAGGGACACCCATCCAGCTTTTCCGCCCCCAAAGCTGCGCAGAGTTTCTGCCAGGATGGAAGATTCGACCCGACAGTCTGGTAACGCCGTCGGCACTACGGTCGCAGCTGTAGATCCACCTCCGGCAGTTGACCAGGATGCGGAGATTGAGCCTGAGGATGAGGGATTTGGTGTTCGTCACTCTTCTGAGCTTCACATTCATCTCACTCCGAAGGTTTACCTCGTTCGTTATTGCTGACATGCGTTTGCAGGAACTGGACTCCACCCCAGATGATCGGATGTTTGTTTCCTGGAAAGATTACTTGATGCCGGTATCCGGGCCGACAGGGACGTTGATACTGATGGAGCCAGGTCATCCTACACCCGATCAATAACGTCGAGTGTCTTTGACTACCCAGTAGAATACGGGCGACGATATCATGCCTACCGGCAAGGCAGTATGTTTTACCACCGCTCCATGCTTCAGTGACTGTCTCTAAGAGGTCTAAAAGCCTACGCATTTCCGAACGACGAGGTTTGTATGCCGACGCTCCCAGAAGGACACCGCTGAACCCCCCAGCCCGAACTGAACCGTCTCGATCTGGCTCATATCCTCATGTTCAAATCCATCGGCTACCGACTGTACCTCGCTCCTATCAGACCAGAAACGACCCAGAGAATACTAGACATCGGGACCGGAACAGGGATCTGTATTCCTCTTCTTCCCACGGTAGCGGGTGTGGTCTAATGATGCTTCCCAGGGGCAATTCAAATGGCTGATAAATTTCCACACGCTGAAGTAAGACTGCCCGAAGAACCTCTTAATACAGCCGCTGAGTAGCCTAGGTCATCGGAACGGATTTGAGCGCAGTCCAGCCGGAATGGTAACACCTCATCCGCGCCCATCCCACCCAGTTTCTGACCACAAAAGACAGGCTTCCCTCCAACGTCAAATTCATCGTCGACGACGTCGAAAGCGCCTGGATCGACCCCAAAAAGTACGACTACATCTTCGTCCGCTACATGCTCGTCGCCATCGCAGACTGGCCGCGCCTGATCTCCAACATCTATGAGTCAATCCACCTCATCCTGCCCCCCGATCTCAAAATCTAATCATCACCAGCCACCTCGCCCCCGGCGGCTACGCCGAGTTCCAAGACATGGACGGCCTCTACTACGCCGACGACGCAACCTACCCGCCCTCCTCGTCCCTCTCCCGCTGGAACGCGCGCTTCGTCGACGCCTGCGAGGCCATGGGCCGCACCGCGCGGCCCGGCCCGGCGCTCGAGGGCTGGGTGCGCGCGCACGGCGGGTTCCGCGGGGTGACGCACAAGCGGTTCAAGGCGCCGATCGGGCCGTGGGCGCGAGATCCGCACTTCAAGGATGTTGGCGCGCTGAACCTGCGCCAGCTGCTCGAGGGGCTGGAGGGGTTCAGCTTGAAGGTGTTTTGCGGGGTGCTGGGCTGGGAGGAGGTGGATGTGAGGGAGTTGTTGGAGGGAGTGAGGGCGGAGTTGGGGGAGGGGGGGATGCATGTTATGTTTGATCAGTGAGTCTTCCTTTTCATATTCGAGTGATGAGTGAGGGCTGACAGTGTGGCAGTCATGTTGTGTATGCGCAGAAGCCGGGCCTGCAGTGAAGTAACAACGGTATCCCATGATGTGAATGTCGCTTTTACATTACGCGTAACTCAAGCCTTAACCTCCGCCTTCCCCCGCCCCGGCGCGCCCTCAAACTTCGCCTGCCACCTCTCCTCCTGCTTAAACATCGCGACGCAGGCCAGCGCGCTGGGGTTGCCGTAGTCCGGGTCCGCGCCTCCCTCAAGCAGAGCCTTGTTGGTCTTCGCGTCAGCTGTCACGTCATGCCAGTAGGAAATCATGCCAGCGAACAAGGATAGTCATCACCAAACTCACCTCAATCACCTCGTCCTCCTTCTTAAACACCGCGCCGGCAAGCGGGCTCTGGCCCCTATCGTTAAGTCGGTTGGGGTCCGCGCCGTGCTGGATGAGGAGCTTGACGAGGGCGGCGTGACCGTGGTACGCTGCGAGCATGAGCTGTTTCTCGTCAGTTTTCGTCCGCACCCATGAAATATGAGACGAATCGGTGCCTGGACGATGTAGAATGGGGTGAGGTCCGTACCAATGTGTCGCCCTTCTCGTTGGTCATGTTCGCAGGCAGCCCCGCGGGTAAAGCCTGCTGGAAGAGCGCCATGTCGCCGGCGCGCGCGCCGTCGTACAGGCGGCCCGCGAGGGCGATGGCTTCCGGTGGAAGGGTTTGGGAGGCGGGATCCATTGTGTGTTGCTGATTCTCGTCGTCAGCCTTGCGGACATTTGCGGTCGACGAGCGAATGAGTTGGAGGAAGGGCGGTGATTGTGAGCCGAGGTTGTTGTTTTGGGGACCCACCGTGGTTCGAATTGGCTTGCTTTTCCTTCGCCAAGAGTTTTGAGATTCCGGTATCTAATTGAAGAGTCGATGGCTAGGACTCCGTTGGAAATATTGCCCTAGATGAGAAGATGATATTGGGCACGTGAATATGAAGCTGGATGCCTATGGCGGGGTGGAAGGTCTGAGTTCGGGGTTGACGAGTGAGAGGGCGGATGACGTGAAGGAAGGTTATCCTGGGGGCCCACAGCTCCAGCGGGGAGCTGCTGCTGGGGGGCTACTTGGGACCAATCAGGTACTTCTTATTTTGGTTCATCATGAACACCCCGTCTCGGTTGATGAGATGACCCTTGAAATGTTCACCGGCAAAAGTTGTGAGCTTTCTAACCTCAAACTCACTCAGGCTGATTAGAGCAGATGAGATTGGCGAGTGGATGACAGGATTCTACTTGTGGTGGTGGCCCGCCCGAGGGTTTGTCCTCGCGAGTAAGCATCTCTATAAATATCATCATATTGGTCATGGTAAAATTTATTCTGCTTTGAGATCACACTGTAACATCACTTCGATAACAGTTCCGAGGACCAGAGTCTTCTGAGATGATCTTGACGATGGCAAATTCTTCTCAAATTGACGTTCCCATGCATTATCAGCCCGCCGCGACAGCTTCGCTCGCCTTCAAAGCTCCAACAACGGCAAAACAGATCAACGGAGATACAATGTACGACATCTATTACGCTGTTAGCAACCAGTCCAATGACAGAAACTCGAACCAAACTAACCGTCAAAAACTTGGCGATCAACATCTTCTGCGCCTCATCCGACCCCTCGCAGTCCGCCAGCGCCGACAGCTTCATCGCCGACGGGCCCGTCGGCATGAGCATCAAGCAGAACCACAGCAGCGCATCCTTCGTCAACAGGTCCGTCTTGCTCGCGAGCGCGTAAATCACCCCGATCGAGACGACGGGCCACAGCACGAACCGCACGACCGTGACCGCCAGGAACGGCACCATCGGCACGTGGCTCTCCTTGGACTCGGACCCGTTCTTGAACTGCAGCAGCGCCTTGGAGAGCTTCACGCCCACGACGATGACCTGCAACGTCGCGAAGAGGTCGCCGACGTTTTTCAGTGCTGATGTCAGCCACGCGTTGAGGTAGCCGCCGGCCTCGGGTTCGGAGAAGAAGAGGCGGTGCAGCGCGGGGACGAGGCCGACGAGCGCGCCGAGGAGGGCGCCGATGACGGGGGCGTTGACGAAGCTGGAGAGGAAGCTGAGGCTGCGCTGGACGGGGGCAGGGAGGGCTGACCAGAGGCGGTTGGTGTTGCGGGCAAGGCGGTGCTGGGCGCGGGTGCGTTTGGCGACGACGCGGTGCGGGAGCAGGGAGGTTCGTTCGTCGCGCTCGAGGTCCTGGGATTCGACGTCATCGTCGTCTTCTTCGTCTTCGCTTGGTTCGTGGTCGCTGTCCTTGTCCGGGGCTTCTTCCTCTTGGCCATTGAGGAGCTTGGGCCCAAGGGCGAAGGTGAGGGAGTTGCCAATCATGGCGTTGACGAGGAAGTAGCTCTTGGCTTTGGCGACCACATCGGAGCTGTCATCGATGGAGCTGAGGATGCCTGTCGCATCGAGAGACTGCACGAGCAGCAGTGGCAGACTTGTGGTGTTGTTGAACGCGATAGCTGGCGTCACCCAGTCAGGCATGCCGAGGACCTTGTTCAGAAACATGCCAATGCCGATTGATGCCGTGGTGTAGAATATGGCCCATAATATAATGGGTACATAGCGCAGCCCCTTGTGATCGGTTAGGAGATGCCGGCCAAAGTCTTCACGACGGAACACCCACAGTCTCGAGGTCGAGTTGCGACCCGACATTTGTGATCAAGAGCGCCGGCAGCGCCATGCGGACGCAGAAGGTCGATATCTTCTTGCTGCTCTGTCCATCGAGAAGACCATACTGCGCGGCAATTACGCCAACGGCGATGGTCAGCAGTACCGACAAGGAGGCCTGGAAGGCCCCGAGGAAAGGGACGAGAACGCTTTCTGCCGTGTTATCCGTCATGGTGTGGTGTCAAGAGATTAGACGAACAGGTCCTCTCATCCATCGTAGAGAGGTGGCATGGCGAGACTTTTAAAGAGCGACAGATAAGGCACGCGACATGCCGTCAAACCGAAGCAGCTGAGCTTGCGCAGGGACAGCAGATGGCTTGGCGCTTGCAGGTTTCTGCGCTTGGCGCCAGGAATGAGAACGTGGACGTCACTGCGCACGTGCCAAGAAGCCCCCTTGGTCCCATCGAGATGCGATGCTTCGTCTCGACTGCTTTCAGGCGGTCTGTCTGTGGTGTTTTGGAGTGTTTGGTTCCGTCGAGATGGGTTTGGAGGAATTTTGGAAACCAGAGCGACGAGGCGTAGAAGCACCGATGCACCAGTCCCGGGAAGTCGGTGCTGGAGGTGAAAGGTGACCGAAGCTTGGGCCGTGTCTAGTGGCAGCTCGGTGAAGCGTTCGGCTGCCCTTCACCGAGTTCCCCGGGCAAGAACCACTCACAGGGCGGTGTTCATCTGAGGTCTCCACAAATAACCGAGCAAAGCCGACCCGCCAGAACGTCATCGCATTTTCACCAATTGAGCTCTTTCCTCGGTCCGCCCAAATTGAGCTTTCGCAGCGAGCAACACAACCACCCCTCCAACGGCTCGATCGAACTCAATTGGAACCAAAGGACACATTCCTTCTTCTCACATTCCGTCTTACCTATTCCCACAGCTTGATACCCCAGAGACAGCAACAATGCCTCCCCGCCTCGCCCCGCTCCGTCTCGCCGTCCGCATCCCGCGGTGCTCCTCCAGACCGGCCGCAGCTCTCTACTCAACCGCAACCGCTGCCGACTCCAACCAGCCGTTGATAACCGTCACCCAGCTTCCCGCCCCCGGCTCCGGACACATCCGCATCCTCGAGCTCAATCGCCCGAAGGCCCGCAATGCCATCTCCAAGGCCTTGCTGTCCCAGCTGCGCGCCGAGATCGAGGACGTCCACGCCCAGTACACCGAGACAGGCGACGAGGCACCCGCGAAGCAGATCTTTGGCGGCGCCGCGGGGAAGGACGTCAAGGGCCCGACGCGCGCCTTGATCCTCGCCAGCGCCGTCGAGACGAGCTTCTGCGCCGGCGCTGATCTGAAGGAGCGCCGCGGCTTCTCCCAGGCGGAGTAGGTTACCAACTAAACCCCCGCGTAAAGACCGTCATGACACTGACACAAGCCCCCAACAGGACCGACGAGTTCCTCTCCAACCTCCGCAGCACCTTCACGTCCCTCCAAAACCTCCCGATCCCCACAATCTCCGCCATCTCCTCCCTCGCCCTCGGCGGCGGCCTCGAGCTCGCCCTGTCCACACACTTCCGCGTGCTCTCCTCCAACGCGCTCGTCGGCCTGCCCGAGACGCGCCTCGGCATCATCCCCGGCGCCGGCGGCACGCACCGCCTGCCCGCGCTCATCGGCCTCTCTCGCGCGCGCGACCTCATCCTCACCGGCCGCCGCGTGTCCGCGCCCGAGGCGTACTTCCTCGGCATCGCGGACCGGCTGGTCGAGATCACGCACGACGAGGCCGAGAAGGCGGGCGAGGGCGACAAGGACAAGGGCGCGCTGCTGGTCGCGCGCCGCGCGGTGCTGAGCGAGGCCGTGAGGCTTGCCGGCGAGATCTGCGAGGGCGGGCCGATTGCGATTCGTGCCGGGTTGCAGGCTGTGAACTGGGCAAGGGAGGAGGTGGAGAACAAGATGTACGAGAGGGTTGTGGCGACGGAGGATCGGAATGAGGCGCTGAAGGCTTTCCAGGAGAAGAGGAAGCCTGTGTTCAAGGGGCAGTAAAGGACATGGTATCTAGATGTAAAGAAAAATAGGTGGGAATGTATGAAGATGATTTAGTGGTTCATATCGGGCGACCTCAGCTTTAAGGCGAAGATGTGCCTCTGGATAATCGGGTTGCTGGTATCAAAACGCCATGGGCAGCGCAAAGCTCACAGCGTGTGCAATCTTGCCCATGTTCACAGTGTTACTATGCCGGCGCATCTCACGCCGTGCCATCCGCCGGCCCCGTCCCGAAGTGGACCTACTTATCCATCTCCCCCGATCCCGTTCGGCAGACGCCCGGACCTCCGGCCCGACAGATCGAGATCGCAATCCGTAACCAAGTTAGCAGGTGCAGGTCTCCCGTTCCAAGATCTATCGGCCATTGTCTTGATCCGCTGCCGCCTTCACCGGATTTGTCTCCTACTAGACCCAATCTGCCACAACAAGCTTAGCTAGACCTCAGCTCTTTCTTCCGTCTTCCCGTCCAAAAGGTCCAGACCACGGAAAGACCGAGGTAATGCAAACAGCCTTCCCTCAACAAGCAACAGACAAACAATGGTGTGATGCAGAGGTAGACATGTCGTCATTACCTGCACCGATCCCCACGGCCAAATCTGCGGGGAACACCACCAGACGACGACCAAGGGACGATACCTTGAGAGTACCTCCTGCGATCGATGATGTAGGTGTGATACAATTGTCTCGCCGTGGCCCAGAACGTCATGGCGCACTCGCCTCGCCCCTGCCCCCGCCCTTTTCTGGGTGAGATACTGCTACAAGAGTGGTTGCAGTGGGGTTGGGGGCCCTGAAGCCGCTGTGGTTGTGGTTTAGCATGTGCGGCTAAAGGAGCAAGAGCCCCGCGAACTCAGGGCGTGGTGCCTGCCACCTGCCACCTGCCTCCGCAGGGCGGAAGGCGCGATGACATCACCCCCAGCTCATAGCTTCCTCGAGCTCTTTCCTTCCGGTGTGAGTGTCATTCCTTCCCGTCGTTCATATTTGAAGTTACCTCTCCCTCACAACACACCTCCCGTGCTTCAATTTCCTCAATACAAACACCGAAAAAGCTACTCAACCGCGCCTTT